CCCAGACGAACTCTTCAGAACCCCTTGAGGAACGAAGTGGAGAGAGCATCGCTCCCAAGCATGCTCTGGAAACCCCGGCCGTGGCAAGCTCTGATGGCAAACCCTTGACTGAGGAAGCCTTCGTTCCCAAAGCTTGACGACCTTAAGCACGAACAGTACACTAAACCCCCCCCCGTTCCCCAAACCCAAAGCCAGAAGACAGTGGTCGAGAAGGAGGCAAACTTTACTCCCGAGGCCCAAACCGTCCCAGACCAAGAGAAGATTGGGCAGCAAGCCCTACACCTTGGAAGCCTTCGTCTATAAAGCCTACAGTGGCCTACATGACAGGTTTGTCGAATCTCTCGTGGGTACGGTGACCATTTCTTTGTCTGATTAAAAGCGGGTGGGTACGAGTTTTAGCGGAGCGCGTGACAGAACCGATGAATCCAGGTGTGGACACGCAGCGTAGCCAAATGAGTTGCCCCACAACCCAAGCCGTACTCGACCTCAAGAGTGCATCAAAGATGTTTAAGGAGCTTGTAAGGGAGAAAGAATATGAAATGTGAACCGGCCTTGGGCCACAAGACCTGAATTCGAGTCACAGACCATACCAAAGTTCCGGAAGCTGAAAAGCAAGGAAGTTGCTTGCCGCAAGTGAATGAGCACATGGCTGTATAATGCAGAGAAGGCTTTGCCCTGTTTGAGATCATCAGCAAAGTTTATGGCCATGTGTTTGCTCAGTCAATTCTCCAGTGTTCAGCGAAGCATTCCGTCCGTTGCCAGTCACGAGCCGCTGCCACTGGACAAGGAGCCGACCAGACTTGAGATTGTGGCAGCTCAGCAATCGTCCTTGCGGTGATTCTTGACAGGGCCTCAAACAAGCGAAGAGGAGGCTAGGCTGGAGAGGCAAAGTCGGCAATCCATGGACGGCTTCTGAGAGAATGTGGAATCCTGCTGTGCGGTCAGATGCCATGAGCATGAGCATTCATGTGCCCTAAGGCCACGTTCAATTTGGCATTCCCTAGGGAGCCTGTGGCGGTGCCCAGCTATGCCAGCCATGCGGGCTCTTTGCCAGCTATGCCGACCGTTGCCCACCTGCACTTTGTCTTCGGAATGTTCATGCCGATGCCCGGCGCCTCAAGCTAGGATCCCGCGATCCAGCCGGAAGTCTCGAGCAGTCGCTGCAATGCTCTCCAAGATGTGGAACCTCGCCACATCGAAGATGCCGCTTTGCAGCAGGTTGCACTCTGTTTCAAGATGTTGAGCTAGCATGTCGCATGGTCGCGCCGCGCGTCGCAGTCTGCTTTGATCTGCACTACTTTGCCGTTACTTTGCTGTGGCTTGAGGCTGAGCTTACTCGGGCAAAGCCTCTGAAAGCCACGGTGTTTTCCTTGAAGCCTCCCCAGCTGTCCTTGCTCCAGCGCTATCTCTCCATTCAGGCTTGATGTAAGCCAATGGAAGCCAATGTATGCCAATGTGAGCACGGGTGGGTGTAGCTATGAAATCCACCATGGAAGGAGTCTAGCGCTGCTGTGCCACACGCTGCCAGCGGGCCTTTGCCAAAGCGCCAGTGGACACCCGAAAGATTGAGGCGCATGTATTGGCAATGAGACCTGCAAATCATGGAAGGCTGCGCATGACTGGGGATGACGGACTTGCAGTGAGGTTGACGCCGTATCATAGTGTCGTCTTTATCTGCGACGAAACGCTTTGCCGTGGACCTCATTTTGCTCTTGACGCCAGGTCCAGCCCAACTGGTCCCATGGCAGATGCTGCTGTGCAAACGCCGTCTGACGCACCGACGCAGCAGAGGATCGGATGTTTGAGTTCATCGCCGAGGCAGGAAAGCAAAATCACTCAGTACTCTCTAGTCCAAGGGCTCGCTTGGCACACGTGCCTCCCAACTTTTCGAAGGAGGCTGCAAAGTCCATCCATGGATCTGGACTCTTCACCCATCAAGGCTCTTCATGACATTTTTGCGATGGCAGGCAGTAGGCCTTCTCTGTTGCGGAAATCTTGTCTTGTGCCATTTGCCGGAGTTTGCTCTGCAAAGTATAGGCGAGTCCACGGCCGAGCCCACGGCCGAGCCCACCGAGCCCACGGCCAAGCCCACGGCCGAGCCCACGGAGCCCACGGCCGAGCCCCCGGCCGAGCCCACGGCCAAGCCTGCGGCCATGGTCTGGCAGTCCGAACAGGATTCTCAGCTTGTTTCATCTTGTAAGCCCTACCTGAGCCCAAAGTGAGAGCCACCCCCTCGAAAAACAAAGCGTCATCCTGCCGAGCTGCACTGGCCACGATGTGTTCGCGACGCGCGGTGTTTCTGTTTTACGTTGCCGAACTGCCACATTGCAGCATGATGATTGCCCTCAGCAAAGGCTCCGCTTGGGAACACCAGTACCGCGCAGGTGGAGACATAGGGCACGCAGCAAGGGGCTCGAGGCGCGGTGCTTCTTGAAATTTTGAGACTAAGAATGAATTGGTAAACGTGCATACATGCAAACAAGCAAAGAGCAAACGCGCACACACACACACACACATAAACATGTAACATGTATATACATATATATACAAATATGTATACACACCCATGCATACATACATACATACAGACATACATACATACATACATGTTATGTATATGTAAAGTTGTATTACCCCTTCACATGCACATGATCTCAAGCCTGTGGGTCGTGGAAACACCTCCTAGGCCAGCAACTGCAATGGCGACGAAACACATGTGAGCCCCTCACCATCACGGGTAGAGGCTTGTGGGCGGCTAAGAGAATATGCTGTGCCACCTGCTGAGTGCCAGAGATGCTGAGCATGAGTTGATTGTTCCCTCTGATCTCAAGCTGATTGGATTGTGCCATTGCTGGGTTTTGCCTTCGACTTGGGCATTGAGCGTTGATACGTCCTGGCATCACTTACAGGCTCTGCGTCTCAAGGGTTCACCCCCAGCCTGGCAAGGTAGCATCGGGACCTTCGTCAGATTTCGTCAATGTATGGGTCGTCTTGTCTCGTCAAGTTGATGCTAGGACGCACTTCGGCCCAGTCCAAAGATTCGGGCAGACCTGCGCTGCAGGACAATGTCTGACATCGTAGAGTCGTAGAGCATGCACAGAGAGCACGAAACGTGTGTGCGCACAATGTGACTGGCGTTGCTTGAGGACACATGAGCCAGAGCCACTGCTCGAGACCCTGCTTTTGCCGAGTCTTTTTACTGTTGTCATGCGGCCGACCTCAGGTGAAGTAGTTCCAGGTAGACAGCCCAAAACTGTTTCGATGTGTATTTCAGCTTTCACATGCGCGAGAAATACCTTCCTGCTGCAGGAGGGTCAATGATGATTCTAGCTGAAGCTGCTTGTTGCTTCAACGTTACTCTGCATTGAGTGATGCTTTAGCAGTGCAACAATCACGTCTTGCTGGCACTTGAGTATCTACTCGTACTTGGCATCAGTCTCCTGGATGGCGTCTAACAAAGAAACTGGGGCCTTGCTTGTCAGTACTGTGGCACCTGATTGGTGTCTGCAAACGGCTTCTGAGTTGAATCTGGAGCATTTGGGTGGCTCGTTTCGGAAGTGGCACGTGGGCAGTGTTTCATGACGTGTTGCGTTCCATGAGGGATGGTTGCCTGAGGCTCGGTTCGCCGTTGCCACCCAGGCGTGTGGCATCGCGCCTGGTGTGATGGTTCGGTGAAGCCCAGCTCTTGTGAACCCAGGCAGCCCGCAGACCCCAAGAGCAGCCGCCAAGACGGCAACATTGGCGACATCCTTGGATATCCTTGGTCTCAGAGAGTAGAGAAGGATCGATGGATGAGCCGGGATCTGCGAGCACAGCTAGCAGGTCGAGGTACCACCATGTGCCATCATGTGCCATGTGCCTCTGAGGCCTGCCTGGCCTTAGCTGGGCACCATTGCCCCAGGATAGCTACTACGCGCCCAGACTCGGCCAGATCTTAAATGGAGAGAATGTCTCCTTCAAACTACTTGCTGCCGAGGCGCCCAATATGTTCGATGTGATTGACTCTCTCGAATCTAGCCCTTCATCGTGGGGAGCGCAGAAGGCGCCCCTGGACGGGTGCAGAAGTTTTCCGACTAGAAAGATAATCGAGTTGGAGTGCAGTGGAACCCGTGCCTATCTGTGCCGCTTCAGGCCAGGAGTCAACCGGTGGCCATCGCGCAGGACGCGGCAACGTCGTTCTATCATTCAGCGGGCTCTGCGAGAGACTGCCACCAGGAGCTCAGACGTCTGCAACGAGAACTTGTAGTGATTGAACAGCGCGTTCAAAGAGGTCAGCTGCAGGGGCTGCTTACTTCCAAGTTCTGGAAGACTTTCTCTGCAGTCTCCACACCGGGCCATGGCACAGGCTCCAAAGAAGAGTCACCTGTGAAGTCCGTGAGACAGGCAGGGGATGGCAGAAGACCGGTGCTAGAGACATGCCATGCCATTCCGCGATGCACCGAGACTGAAGCTTCGCCACTGTGGCTGAAGGCTTGGCACACCTGCGTTTACAATTTCTGGATAATTCTGGCTCTGGTACCTTGAAGTACCTTGTTGTACTGCTACCTTGCTCTCCATGTAGTCTGCGCTCTTGAGGCTGTGGATGCTGGTGAGCGCCGGGACGAACTGGACAGCTAAGTGCACCGTCCCGGTATGGCTCGTGGCTTCCTGCTTATGCCTTGGCAGGAGCTGTCAAGGGAGGTCGACGATGTACTTTTCCTTCTTCGAGAGAGAATTTCGGAGAAGACTCCAGAGGGGTTGTTGCGGTGACGCGCCGTGAACGGAGCGCAGCATACCGGTTCAGAGGGTGACAAGCACCGGGGGAGAGTTGTGCTTGTTGAAAGTGCCCTGTCTACCCAGACAGAGTGAATATCGCTCCACTTCATAGCTTTACTGAAGTTGAGCAGTCGCTGGGGAGAAAAAAGTGCATGCAGACGAATTCAGAGCCTGCGCAAATTTCCTACCTTGAGGATTCAAGCTGAGCATAGTGTTTGGAAGTCTAGGTCCTCACTATTTGGCAGGAGGAGGCCACAAAACAAGCAGCGGTCGAAGAGCTTGAGGAGTTGCGGCGATCTTGGGAGACCCCATCGCTGACCTTGATGAGTTTGAACTCTACGAGACTCTGGCTTGTCTGATTCGGACTGAGGTCTGAAAGCAAGGCAAGCCTTCATAAAGAGTGCGACTTCTTCATTTCCAACTTTGAGGCTGATCAAGATGCAGCCTGTCGCGGTCTGTGGTCATATCGGTGCATTGTGCAGGTTATCTACATAGTGCGCGGGCTCGCATAAACAGAACCATGTGTAACACGAACAATGTGAACTTTCACAGACCCTGCTGCATCCGACGTGAAGGTCCGTCAGACGGCAAGATCAGAAGAAATGGAAGCCCTGGGCAAGGCTGGTTGGGCAGAGTGCTCATCGAAAAGAAGCTGTCATGGCATCACATTGGCCTATGACTCCTCTGTCGGGGCTCGATTCCATCTGCTTCCTTGCAGGCCAAGGGCATATTGTCTGGTGAATGATTTGGCAAGCTTCTACTTGAACTTGCAGTGTACAATGTAGCAGCCTTTGCGCTTCACGATTCTTGCCCCAGCTTGGCCAGGCAAGTTCGGAAAAAGAGCTTTGTTCGTTTGGTAGTCACATTGTCACAAGAACTGGCGACGTGAGAAGTACGTGGGGTTTGTACGGTCTAGAGTCAGCTGCTAAAGCGTGCCAATTCTACTGCAATGCACGCCTCCTTACCGGCTCCATCGACAGATTTACGGGTGTAGGCGGCGGGTGGCTAGGAGCTTGCAAGCGCGATCATGGATGGCGTGCACACTGCGTAGTTTGAGCACATTGTGTTCAGGATATCGGATCATTCATTAGGTGTCTTGCTGCAAGAAAGAGAAGCTTTTGCCTGTGCAGCGTTGTGCTGCAACAGCTTGGATGGGGCAACACATCAGTGACCAGACTGAGAAGGTGGCCGAGACTGAGGCGCGTGTGACAGCAGAGCGCTGCGCTACAGAGCGCTGTGAAGGGCCTTGCCGTGCCACGGAGCAGGCAGACTCGTCAACGTTGTACAAAGACAAGGACATATGCGTAGGCATATATATATATATATGTATACATCTCATCTTGGCAGGGCTTTTCCCATCGCAGGTGAGGGCCAGACCCTTCAGGGAACGTATGTATGCTTTCTGAACCTGCCTGACCTCCCTGCAGGTACCTTTGAGAGCAAGTTAGGCAAGGTTCGTCTGATGAACCAATGCTGCTGCCTTGAGCGAGGACGTGGCTGAACTTCGGCAGTTGGCCATGGCCTCACGCGCGGAAGACTCGCATGGAGCTAGCAGAGCTGGCCTGAGGGAAACACGTGTACGTGTGCTGTCTCAGGCTACAGCCCGTGGAATCATCTGCCCCAGCGGCAGCAGCTTGGGACCAGGCGTGGACAATCATTGACGCATCTTGATGGGGCCACTTTAATGCCATGTTCATAGAAGCAAGGCAGGAAGTTGGGTCACAAACTCGTGAGAAGTAGGTGCAAGATGGCGCAAGGGCATTGCGTCCAAGACACCTCTAGGCTTGTCAGGCTTGCAGATTGCATTGGTGCGAGCACGCAGAAAGGGTGGCTAAGCCGTGGCCGAAGTATTGGCAGCCCCTAGTCGCTCGAAGCCAGCAGCACGCACGCAATGGCATCAGACCACAGCGTTGTGGTCACGAATTTGTCTGGATCTGTGGCAGCATCCATGAACCTGGTGTCCACTTCAACAATACTGATGTTGAAGCAGGAAGTGCATACAAGGACTGGCATACGCCCTTTTCAACAGGAGCTGGTTTTGGGCCAAGAGAGCCTGGAAGATGACACCAAACTTGATTGCTACCCGAACCCATGTGAGCTTGCGATGCTTGTGCATACAGTGGATGCGACGCTGTCTCCGGCATTGATGTCCGCCGTGTCCGATGGCAGTTTGAAGGACATAAGGAAGCTTCTGCGAAGTGGAGCAGACTTAGACTTCCGTGACGAAGACTTTTTCTCGCCGATTCTGCTGGCCTCTTACAAGGGTGACGCCTCTGTGGTGCAATGTCTACATGATGCTCGAGCTGATCTAGAAACTACGATGCCAGATGGCTCCACGCCGTTGTTGCTTGCAACCTGCCATGGTCACATGGAAGTCGTGCAGCTGCTTTGTGACATCCAGGCCGATCTGGAAACGAGAAACTCCAACGGGGCGACGCCGTTGATGCATGCAGCGCAAGAAGGTCACGTCGACATCCTTTGTTGTTTGTGCAGCCATGAAGCAAGAGTGGACAGCAAACGGATCGATGGTGCCACGGCTTTGAGTATTGGGGCGGCCCAGGGTCATGCAGACGTGGTTCGATGCCTGTGCGAGTTCAATGCTTGTATTGATGCCACTGCAGGACAAGGCGTCACGCCCCTCTTGTTGGCTTGCCGCGAAGGCCATCTCGCCACCGTGCGGGTATTGACCGATGCCAAGGCGGATTTACACCTGGCCATGCATACCGGAGTCACACCGCTAGCTATTGCTGCCCATCGTGGTCACGCAGGTGTTGTGCAGCATCTTTGTGAGCGACAGGCAGATCACTCGACTTGTTCTGACGGCAAGACGCCACTTTTTTTGGCATCACAGGTCGGCATTGTTGTTCGAAACAGTCCAGGTTTTGGTGTGACTGATGGGCGTAGGTCTTCTTTGCTCTGAAAACACAGAATGGCAGCTCTGGAGGGAAAGGTTCTTCGTGCTCAGGCACAATCGTATAGGACGGCGTAAGGGGTCGTATAGGACAGCATAAAATGCATAGGGCGGCATAAAGAATGCGTAAGGAGGCAGTAACCACTTCTTTTGGCGTCACAGGCTGGTCACGCGGAGGTGGTTCAACGCTTGTGTGAGGCCAGATGCGACCCAGACTCCGGGCCAGGTGAGAGTCCTCTGGATGCAGCTGAGCGACACGGACATTTGCAAGCTGCTTATGCCCTAGCTGCCGCGGGCGCAAGCCGCCGTACCTGTCAAAACTTCGACATTCAATTGCTTCTGGCGGCAAGTGTTGGTGACTTAGATGCTGTGGAAATGTTATGTCAACATGGTGCGCAGGTTGATACACATGACAAGGATGGAATGACGCCTCTCTGCTTTGCAGCTCAGACGGGGCACTTGGGAATTGCCAGCTGCCTGCTCGAAGCCGCTGCTGACATTGATCAGCCTCGGCACGATGGCGCCACCCCTCTGTGTCTTGCTTCGCATCAGAACAGACTCGAGCTGGTTAACCTTTTGCTGCTCAATGGCGCAAACAAAGACGTGTTCATGAATGGCAGCGTCACTCCTCTGCTACTGGCATGTCGTGAAGGTCATGTCGACGTTGTAAGGTGCCTATGCGAGCAAGCTGCAGACCCAAACAGGGCCATGTACAACGGCCTGACGCCCCTTTGCATTGCTGCTGATGCAGGACATCTCACGATGGTTGAACTGCTTTGCATGGCTGGAGCCGACATGGGCCATGCAGCACACAATGGCTTCAGTCCCGCAGAATTTGCAGAGGACTGACGACAAACCCCAAAACCCTCCCCACACCCTCCAAACCTCCACATAAACGCCCAAATCCCAAACCCCCTCAAACCCCCCCCACCCCCCCCCCCCCAACCCCCAAACCGCCCAAAGCCCCCAAACCCCACAAACCGCCCCTTTAACCCCACTTAAACCTCCCTAAGCTCCCCAAGCACCCCTGAACCCTGCCGAGGAACGGGGCCACCTTGAAGTCCTGAGATTTCTCGAGGGGCATGCAGCGAGCTTGCCAAAAAGAGGCCGCAATGGTCCACATGCTCGCCCTGGCTTTGACAGCGCTTTGCTCTCGTACCCTGACTTGTGGGCAAAGTTGCAGAATGTTGCAGAGCCTTGCATGCTGTGCGAGCACCGCAGGCTCTCAGAGCATGTTGTTGGCTCTGCTCTCTGCATATGATGCAGGCACAGTGTCACGCATCTTTGTATGACTGCTGGTCCGGTGTTCTTCATGTCAGCGTGGAGATCCAATGTTTTTGTTCTGATTTGCGAAGGCGTTGCTGCGACAACTTCTGTTTCTGTACATGCTCCTGCTCAAAACAAGTGGCCGAAAGCAGCCGAGTTCTCGGACTACGTGCAATCAACGACGTGACACTTCCTGCATTGAGGTTGCATGGCACTTGTCGTTTGGATGTTTAGTCGAGACTTGTCGTCAACTTGAGGACCGGCATTATGAGAAGGCGGCGAGTGTTTGTCGGAGCCTTTGCTGTCAGTTCAGTTACATGGAGACGAAGCATATTTGACGGGTTTTGACGGCCTTGCTTCAGAAAGACGGCAGATTGAAAACGTCAGCTTTTAACATCGTCGCGCCTCTGGTGGAACAGCTAATTTCAGGATTGCATCGGCACTGGGTGGTAGCTTTGTCACGCATCGTTGTAGAAATACACAGGGAGGCACGTCCACATTGGGGCAGCCACGTCGAAAAGTTGAAATGCCATTGTCATTTGTATGTCATTTGTGGGGAGCGTCCACGTTGGGGAATCGCATGGCGGGTGTCGGGTGTGCATGCCGACCGGACGAGCAAACTCTGCTACGCGTGACTCGTGACGACGACACGGAATAAACGTCTCTTCGAGATTTGCTGTTAACACTCCATATTGTTTGTTAAAAAGTGTCTAAAGAGTCAGTGTCTGCCAGGCATCGTGAGTTTGGTCCCTCACCAATTGTCACCGACGTGCAGCGTCCGCGTTCTGCTGGCATTTACTGATGTGTATTTCTGCCACTGATGCATACTTGTCTCCAGGAGCGTCCACATTGGGTGATGTGTGTTTTGGCCAGTTTTGGCGAACTGATGTGGGTTAAAGCCATTCCTTGTAAGCCTGTACGTAGGAGTGGCTTAGTTATTTTAACAGCCTGTACGTAGGAGTGGCTTAGTTATTTTAGTTAACGTTTGCAGGACGTTGATTCTCGATAGCATCGTTTTTTCTTCGAACTGTTCCTTGCGGATCTCGTCTCTGTATGTGTGTGTGTGTGCGCGTGCGCTCGTCTTCTTGAAGCCTTAAGCTTGGTACAGTTGCCTTGCGGACACCTTCTGAGTCACCTGAGCTTGTGTCCAGGCCCCTCTGTTTTGGAAGTTCTCCAGCGTGTGCGCCAATCTCCGGGCCACATGGGTGTGGACATTGGCGCAGAGCTGAGCATGGCCGTATGGCCTGAGCCTGGATGATCGTGTGGCAGATGGTTGTAGCTTCAGAAGCAGCATAAGCAGCTCCTTGCCTTGTCAGGTGGTTCCCTTGTGAAGATGGCCATCGCCCTCCCTATCTCAGTTGCAGGTGGCTACAACTTTCCATCGCCGGAGGCTAAGCGAATCTAAGCGATCTCCAGCAATCCTAAGTTGCGCTGCGGGCTTTTGAGCCCAGGCACTTCGGAGAGCGGGACCCTCATATGGGACAGCGGGACCAGTCTGACGGTCTTATGGAGTCTTACCGGAGATCTTACGGCTCCACTGTATCTCAAGATCAAGGGCTGAGTCCTCTGTACATCTCCCCCAAGTTCTCCGTGCAAATCGCCATTCATGGAAGGGGGAACGACCTTGCTTGCATCCCACACTCTGACACATGAAGCGGTTGCCTGCGCAGAGACACTCTCAGAGAATCTCAGTGCAGCATTTTCGCTCGACTACCATCGGTTGTGCTCAACGGCAATCGTAACCGTCGTAGTACACAAGAACCGACCGAGCCTGATCAAGGTCAGGTCGCACGCATCATCACCTTGAGCTGAAGTTGTGGTCCTCGGGCATGCCTCTGGTTGCTCGGTTTCTGGGAACGGCAAGCAGGACATGGCAAAGCGTGTCCACGTTTTGAGGTTTGTGGTTCGCTTCGTGAGCGGAGCTACCAGCCAGTACTTTCGTCATGCTTGGCGCAGGATGTGGAGCGTGTATTGCTGTGTAACAGCATTCGTAGAAGGGTCATGCCATGCCAGGATGGAGCAAGCCGTCCAGCACTTCGGGTTACGCAGGAGCGGTGCATTTTACGCTTGTTTACACAATGCGACAGTGTCGCGATTGTAAGTTTGTGAAGGAATAGAAGTTGGGCCTTCTCCCGGCAAGACTCTGTGGAGAAGCTGGAAAGGATAGCCAGGTCTTGCGGGGCATTCGTGACATGTCCTGAACGAACGACACAGAAAAAGCTCAAATGCCAGGTCCCCGAAGTCACCCTTTTGCTCAGCCTCCGGGCATTGGAAGGCATGCAAAGCACGCTTCTAGGTCAGATTTCTCGAGCGCGATGACGCTTTTTGTTTGCAGGCCTCGAGCGATCCATGTGCTTCAAGCTGTTCAAGCCGGTGGGATGGCCTGCTGCTAAGATCGGAAGAATTCGGAAGATGTCAACTTATCGACTCTCCTCGAATACAGGGTAGACCTCGCCGAGATTCGCCGAGGCACCGATACTCCGGAGGCTCCCTTGGAGGTGCCGATCACGGAGAGCCGTCGGCACCTTGAAGCACACAGACATACACAGACCATCTAGAATCGATAGAAGCGTTGAGAGACATGAGACGAAGGGCTTCCTCGTGTCCGTCGGGTGGCAGCTGCTGGGGGCGGAGCTTGTAAGGTGCCTTACGCCGCGTTTCAGACTTCACATATCTTCACATATATGCCTGTGACCCAAGTTTGATGATGCTTGATGATTCAGTTTGCGCCGCTCTTCCGCAACTCCCTGCACGTCGAGATAGAGCCGGTGAAGGAAGCGTGCAGAATTGTGCAGACAAGTGTTCGTGTTCGTTGAACCGACTGGGGTCTTGCACAATTGCAATGCGCAGGAGCTTTCAGCTGTTGTTGACGGCCTTCTGGTACTTGCAGACATTGGTGATACAGCATATGCCTCTGGATGACCGAGTGATTTAGTTTGGGCGGCCCCTCCTTTTGCGGCTATAGCCCAATGGAGTATTAGCAAAGACCAAGGCCAGACTGGACACTGAAGAAGAGCGCCGGTCTCGTCTTTCATCGTACGCAATGGCTCGTCTTAGTGCTTCGGAACTTCGTGCTTTTGTGGGCTTCTCTGCTTCTTCGTTTCTTGAGTTTCTGCCGGTGCCAAGGAGTTGCCGCACTGATCTCTTCACGATTGATGAGTGTGGCAGGCAGGATCGTGAGTCCGAGAAGCGGCCTTCTTGATGCTGGTAAAGCAACTCGTAAGGTTGCTTCCATTGCCATGGCCGAAACAACTCTTCCCGCTGATTTTGGTGAACATGGGATCAGGACTTCTTGGAATTCTAAGAATCAGCTTTGCTATTGCTCCGCGTTGAAGAACGACCAAAGTTTGAGGAGTTTCCATCCTGAAAGTGGACTCTGCCAGAAGTAATGCTGGAGCCTGATGGTCCACAGCACTTTGTGAGATCCCGTAGAGACAACAACTGCGCTGTCCGTCAACCTGGCGGGCTAGGAATCAGCATTGGGCCGCAATGACCAGTGCACAGTATCCGAAGCGAGGACTACACGCGAGTTGGCGGAACAGCATGTGGTGGAGCTACTTTCCTCGGTTGGGCCCTAGGAATTGTGAACCTGAAAGCATCCGAGAGCACTTGCTACTCCGTGTTAGGTTTAGCCAGGGCATTAACATCTGCAAGGACCTTCGAGGAGGCGATGCCCTTACCCTTTGCACTTAGCCCAATCTGTTTCAGACCTGCTGTGGAGGCCCTCCTGCTTGCTGAACATGGTGATGCATCAAAGGCCGATAAGCTTGTTCGGTCCCTTGTTTTTGGACTCTGCCTAGCTGGACGGGCATGCTACATGCCGACAGTGAATCGAGAGATGCGCTGCCGTGATTCGAGGTCCGTGACATCTACGGTGACGACGGCTCGGCCTCACTGGGACTAGACAGCAGCTGAGCAAACGACAAGCAAACAAAAGAAGTTTACAGAGGTTCACGAAGCACGGCTTGCAGAGCTGCAGCGCGTTGCAGTGCTTTCAGGCCGGTGGCCTGACAGCCTCGAACTTTGGTAAGCTGGAGCCTTTGGAACTCAGCATGGCGTTTATGCATTTCGTCGGTGTGGAGGGATCTCAGTCTCATGAGACTGCACAGGCTGAGCGAGTCCAGCGGCCTGTGTGAGCAGCAGCCTCGGCGAAGTTCTACGCACATGCACATGCGAAATGCTTGAAGCAAGGCGGCATGAGACACATGATAAAGTGTGTTAACGTCAGCTCAGGTGCTCAGAGTATGACTTGGCAAGGTCACTACTGCAGATGGCTGGCATCTTTGATCAGCCCATGGCGGCGAGTCCATGTGCGATGACATGCGATGACTTGTCATGTCGAGGTGACGCAGCAGTCGGTCCCGCTCCGAGAGCTGTCATCCATCTCACGCCAAGTTTTGTGGTACCACGTGCTACCTCCTTTGACTTCATCCAGGTATTGTTGGCAACTGCGTATGCGAAACACGCAGACTGCGCATCCCCTGGCAACCCTCCATATGTTTTTTGTATCGCAGACCAAATCACACGTGGCCGAGGTCTTGACCGAGTCTTCTTTGTTGGCGGATTCATTGATGAGCCGAGTCTTGTCCGCAGTTGTGAATGATGAAGACATATGAACATGCATTGTCTGGTGAGATCTTCTCGGTAGAACTCATGGCATGTGGCCGACTTGCAGGAATCGGCTCGCACGAGCTGCTATCGCGCAGAATTTCCGCTCTCTGGGTGGCTGCGCATATTTCTTGAGGCCTGCTCGCTGTTGCTACCCGCATCCTCGGCTTAACCGCTGATGTCCCAAAAAGCCTGCAAAGCCTGTAATCGTGAACTGCACGGTATCAGGCATTCCGACTTTCTTGGGGCACTGGGCAGCCTGCACCATGCCTTCCAGGACACCGAGAAGCAAATTGAAGCAACCCCAGGAAAGCAAAGGATGCAGTACAAAGGCAGCGATGACGTACAGAGCACTGGAGATGCTGGCGAAACTTTCAGAAGAGGGCGTAGAAGCCATGGACTGCCTCTGGTTGGCGCCGTAAGTTCTTGAAGCTCTTTAAGCCCTTTTTTCGGCAGTGCAAGGAAGCAGCTTCCCCGGGGTGGTCATGCTACAAGGTTGAGGGGTACGACCCTTGCGAACCTCGTTTGTCAGGGCTTCTTCACTGTCTTCACTGTATTCTCTGATGCGCTTCCTTTCAAAACTTTTTGATTTTCTCTCGGCGACTCTTGGCATTCATGGACCCAGACCTTTCTGCTCCACAAGTCTCCATCTCGAATCATATTATGGAGTTGAGCTCGTGAGTGCTTTCATCTGTGGAGACGACCGATTTGTTTCATTTTGTAGTTTTCGCCACTGCGATATATTATCGCAATTGAGTAGAGAATAGAACACTCTCTAATTGGCGTATCAAATCGCAGACGGGCCGGATGTGAACATTGCGCAGCTCTCACCGTGCGCACTTGCCGGCATCTGGTGTAGAGAGCAGTGTTAACAGGAAATATCGTACCAATGGCGACATATTGCAGATGCTTTGCGCCCGTTGAGATGTTAAGGGGGCTGTTTGGTCCAAAGGGAGTCCCCAGCCTGGGGAGTCGGATGAGGTTGACCCCAGATTCTGCATGAGCTCTTTCGGTGCTGCTGAAAAAAGCAGCGCCTCTGAAATGGGAAGGGCATCAGGAACTGCGGACGCCCGCGGCCGAGGCGAATCTAGGCACAAAAGCGAGTTCAATGTTTGGCCACGGCTTTCGTAGACTATCGTAGACCACATGTAGACCACATGTAGACCACATGTAGACCACATGTGGAAGGAGATGGGCCATCTGGTTCCGCAGCAAATGTTTCTTCGTGCATCTGCCTTTTGCTTGCCAGGACCTGGAAGAGCATGTTGAAGGGCAGTAGTCGAGCTGCTGAGCCTAACGGGGTCGTACACCAAATTAGTGCTTAGCGTTTATGTTGCATGATGCTGCATTGCAGCCTCTCCCTGAACAGTTTTCAGTGCAATTCGCTTCTAAGAGCGACCGAGGAGTTGCAGCAAGCCGTTCTTTGGCTGGCCTTGACAGCAAACTCACAACATCTCACAACTTCCTGTACAACTTCCTGTAAATTCTTTACCTTGTGGGATAAATTTGAGTGCTTACGATCACGTCAATGCCAGCTGATGGCAAGCTTGGAGTGTCAGCGGTTGCCGAATTGGCAAGCCGATCCCCTCCAGGCCTCCACGCATGGCTTCCCAGGCAACCGATGCCAGTTTCGCTTCGGGCTTTTCAAAGGTGCCTGAAGCGATGCTGTACATGCGCTGGCAACGTGAGATGCCTTGGACCTTGATTCCACTGTACAGGATCGAATCCTGCTCTGTAGGTTGTGCCGACCTGCTGTATAGATGCGTTTGTAACGTGATATCTGGAGCAAGAACCTCGGAAGTTGTCGGGTCTTTCATTCAGAATGATGAGGTGTATATGCAACATTTGTGGTTCAGAAAGAGGGCGATCTTGGCCTTGTAAGATCTCGAAATCATGCGTGGGCGGTGTGTTGATACGCAGGTCGCTCGTCGCCCATTCCGGCCGGTTGCCTTGTCATGGCTGAGCTGTGCTGAGCACATGGCCCGACATCCAGTAGATGAATATATGTGTATATACATCTATACATATAGTAGTTTGTAAGCAAATAGGCTTGTGTAAACAAACGGATCATGTTTCAATAGCGACCTTCGTGGAGAACCCGTCCTGTAGCAGAATGGTTCGCAGCTGTCCTGGCTTCTACTATGTCGCGCTCCCAGGACTTCTACCAGCACGGCTTGAAAAATTGTGACGAGCACCGCTTGTGAAGATTAGGTTGTCATTCCTGCAAAGCCAGACAAGCCAATGCACCAGGCGACGCTTCTAAAAGTAGCTTGTGCTGCACGTTGCGTCTGTACAAAACATACTGTGCGCGTGACTGATTATGCGTGGCTGTATGCTTTGTAGACCAACGATGTTCCAACCAACATGGCTGGCTGACCAGGTCTATCACCTGGATGGAGCAGTACAGTATGATGACTTGAGCTTCATCAGGACCGTCAGAGAAATTCTGTTCCAGAAGGCAGGGAGTTGGAGCGGCGCTGACGGGTTCTCCTGCTTCGCGAAGCTTCTGAATTTGGATGACGGATGACATGCGCTGAGAGAGAGGAATCCAGAACAAGCCATCTTCATGCAGTTTCAAGCATTTCTTCTTGTACACACGAGCAGTGAGACCCGAAGTTAATGGCCGTACCCATATTTCGCCCATCAGCTTCCTGCCATGCCTAAGGAGAATTGTAAGTATTTTGTAAGCTTTGGCCGAGGTTCGAGATAGAGCTACCAACATTTCGAAACATCTCGAGAGTCATAGAGAGACTCTAGAAGTCTGGGAGTCTAGAAGTTTACGAGCACGACAACACTCGAAGGCTATGCCTTCATGTTTGCCTTTCACGCCTTGCTTGCAGGCTCAAAGTCCATGCATGAATGACTACCGGGAAAGCCTACGCAAGGACACGCGACCACAGTCACTGCCATTAGCTTGCTTTGGAGAGCATTTGGTTTGAGGACCTGCTTGACGCTTCAAGCCTTAGTCCGGAGGCGAGACGGGATGAGGACCGAGCTCTGCCAAGCTGCGCCAGTGCTGCAGTCTCTGTGCGAACTGGTGACAGGACACGTTGCTTGATGCAGTGCGAAAGATCGGAGATGACCAACTAGAGCACCTACAGTCCATGATCTCGCTGAAGGCCTCTTTTCCTCACACAAGTTGTCGCTGAATCTTTCTTGCGCTAGGTGCTCACTTTGTGTGAGCCTTCCCAAAGTCCTGACAAGAAGGCTGGTTCTAGTTCAGTCTAGTCCAGTCTAGATACCGTCGTTCCTTTAAGACCTACAATTGCAGGGGGTGTTCCTATTCCACGGAGAGCAGCCCGATGATCCCGCCAAAAGCTGAGAGCGTCGCTTTGTGTTAGCCTTTTTCAGCTACATATTCTGAGCAAGGTCAACGCTCGTGCTTTGGACTAAGACTGCTTCGACTGGGAGCACGGTACAGAAGCTCCAGTTTTTGCATATTTTTGCTGTTGCTGTCACTGCTCGGATACACTGGCAGTTCCGTTGAGGCGACTGATCTCTGTTTGACCGCCGGGCTTCCCCCGAAGGCAAGCTTGTGTGATCCATGCTTGCTCTCCGCATCTTTGTCACTGTTTCAGGAGCTGCGAGGTGTCTGCGTCCTCTCGCGCACGGAGGAAGCCAAAGCGAAGAACAGTGAAGTGAAGCAGTAGTCGGACTGTCGGAACAGCCTCGCCAGGAACTAGTTGAAAAGTTTTGCCGGGATCCGGTTTGGCGCCGCTCGGATCCTGGAACCTACTGTCTAGAGATGTCTAGAGTCTTGCATTCATCCGATTGCGAAGATGTTGTTTCGTCAAGGTTGCGATTTCACCTTGGATGACTGTGCCTCCAGTGCAGCGTGGCTCCAGGAGGGGTCCGGTCATGTGCGCATATGTGCGCATTGCATCTCAAGAATTCCCATAGGATCCATCCATGATCATGACGGCTGCCCACGCATTCCGCTTGGTGCTCGTCACTTCACTGTGTTCCTTTGACTTCTTCCGCAGGGAGCTCGTCAACGTCGAGTTCAGTGACTTGACGAATTACATGGCAGAGCTCAAGTTGAGTCAGAGGTCTGAGGAGATGCCTGGTCTCAGGTCAGGCCTGAAGCGCGAGGATGACGTAAAATGGCCGGACAGTCAGCTTCTGGCTTCTTCAGTGCTCCTGTCAAACTCTTTCAGAGTTGAATGCTGCAAGACTGCAGCAGAGCAAGGTTCACCCAGCTGCGGGATTGCGAAGCACCACTTCCGAGCGGAGCGATTGATGGAGCAGCATGACCCCCAGAGACACATGCATGTGAGCAGGGTTGATTCCGCATTCGCGCTTGGGCAAGGTCTGGAATCAATCACAAGAAGAAGTGGAGATCTTCTTTGACTCAGGCCTCCATTTTCGAGCCAGCACATTCAACACTTCAGGGATGTGGGAATTGCTGCCACTTGTGCAGCAGACTCTGCTGCAGAGCATGGCACTTCTTTTCCTTTGCGTCCCAGAGCTTCGATCTCGCGTTGACTCATTGATGCAAGGACCTTTTGCAGGAATCCGTGCATCTAGACGAGACATCCACGTGAAATACACGAGGAGGCCATGTGATAAGCGCTGAATGATGTGACACGGATGTGACCCAAGCTGCCGACCTTGCAGCAGGACCCTTTTTGTGCGGCTACGAGGCCGTGTCCTCTGCAACATCGCGCTGGCCGGCGAGGCTTATTGTCAAGCTATGCAGCATTTTAGCACAACCATGACATCAGCAAACCAGGTTGATCCTCAAGGCTGCTGCTGGACTTTCGACCGTGATCGGTACTCCTTGCAGGTGCACCATTACCCTAGGCCCTAGACAGTCCTAGACGGAGCATTGCCACTATCAACGGAGTGCAGCTTTTCAAAGCTTCTCGCTGCGTTGGCGCAAAGCCAGATTGAGTTTCGAGCAGTGGGCGTGGTTGCTGTCCACAACACTTCGTGGCAAAGCGGGATCTGGGCTGAACCTGCTTGCAGGTAACACTGTGCAAGTCCAGTGCGACGGTGTGGAGCGAATTGGTCGGACCGCAGGCAGCCAAGGCACCAACTGCTGCCCAAGACGAAACTGCTTGCTGCAAATGTTTTGTCTTGGTGGAGAAATGTGATCACTGGCTGCTGCTGCTGTCATCCAGCTCCTATGCGCACTCTGCTTTTGTAGTAGACGTTTGTTGGCTAACCACATTGCACCTGTTCCCTAGTTGACCCACGGAGTGAGACAGGAGGAGGGGTTGAGTTTAGGATGCTTCTCGAGACAGGCCGATCAGTGCTTTCGTGGATGCTGGCGAAAGGAGACACCCGCACTTACCAGAGTTGTTGTCAAGTATGCCTGGAACATGCACGTTCTTGCCGGGAGGACGTGGAACAGCATGTTGAAGAACCGCAACCATGCTGCTGCTGAGGGTCACCGGATGGTTACCAAATTAGTGATTTGTGCTTTATTTTGCATGGTGCTGCATTTGCAGCCTCTCCCTGACAAGTTCTCAGTGCATTGCGCTGCATATAAGAGCAGCTGCACGCAGTTCCCTGGCTGGCCTTGACATCAAACCCAGCAGACCCACTGCAATCGCTAGTTTTCTCAACAAGGGAAAGTTCAATGCCAGCCGAAGGTAAGCTTGGCCTGTAAGTGGTTTGCAAATTAGCAAGCCTCTGTTCTGCCCAACAACATGGCATGGATGCTAGGATGCTAGGACAATCCCGGTGCCAGTTCTCATGTGACTTGCACGGTGGTGTCATACTGGAGCTGAAGAACCATCGCAGGCACTGGCAATGCAACATGCCCTGAGGAATTTGTGTCATCTGTACATACCTGTAGGGTGCTGAATCTAGCGATGCAGGTTGCGCTGACCTGCAATTCAGCTGGATTTGTAACTCTTTCCAAGAAAAATTGGCAGTAGTCGTTGCCCCTTTAACAGGCCCAACGAGGTAACATGTGCTCGTTGCTTGGGCGGCTGTGTAAGCCTCTCTGAGCAAACCAGTCGGCAGGGAGAAGTTGTGCGCAAGTTGAGCAGGATGGACCTCAGGATGGACTGTCGCTGCTTCGCTCTCAAAATTTAGCAAGGCCATACTTGTACAAACCAGCACAAACCAATACAGGGGCAGCACGCACCCGTCGAGTTGAGGCGGTCATTCCCGCGGGTAGTCTCAAGCGTTGACTTTTGGTGAGGGTCGACATGCCTCTGACGAGAAGGAGGGCACCTGCTGTTGTATCCTTCTCTCGCTACATCTGCCAGATCACCACGCGATGGCATCCTGCCCTAGACTACACCCGGCGCATATCTAGCTCACAGCACACAGGACAACAGCCACAGCCTAGCCTAGTCTGATTCCGGAACAAGAAGCCAGAGGCAGTTGAAAAGGCTCTATTCGCACGGCATGCCGCCTTGTAGCGAAGGCAGGGCAACTAAGTGGGCACAGATTGGCACACTTCGACACAAACCTTAGAGTCTTAGAGGCAATCAGAGTGCTCGATCTCATTGTGTTCGATAGCTTGAATATGTATGCTTTTATGAGATGCCAGACGGGCTGTGTAGTCCCGGTGTTTTCACGGTGATAGTAGTGAATCCGGCCTCCTCATGGTTGCGAGGCTGCGCAATGGGTGTGCGAGCACTATTCCGGCCCAGATCCAGGCAACAGATTTCCTCAGAGGGGAGTACTGTCAAGGAGCTCTTGGGGGCTTCTTGCAGCGCAGGCGAACCGAATGCAGAGAGCCTCCAAATGCTTCTCGGCGGATATTCGAATATGTTGGGTGTTTGCTGGCGAGAGCATTGAGGATGGCAGGCACAGCAGGCTGTTCATGGCTGTTCTTTCTAGTGGTCTTGTAGGGTCACACATCAAGGCCTCTCGTGAGCTGCAAGATTCTGAAGGCGCACTAGCAGAAGCAAGATCGGCGAGAGTAATGTCGTTTCGATTCATGTGGCCTCCTAAGCATGTGAAGGATCGGGCCAGCCTCAGATAGAAGAGGGGGACATGCTGCCACTGGAAAGACAGGCCGTCGCTGGGAATGAATCCCTGAAGCTCGCGACATGTGACAAGGTCTAGCCGGTATGGAGGTTGAACATTCCAGTGCAGCATAGTCTGAGGTCAGAGAGGCGATGAGGCCACATCTGGCAACGTTGCAGGCGGGATTGCCCACCGTTCACAGACATGCGTTTGGTGCTGCTCGGAGCTTTGCTATGCTTGGCTTGAAGGAGGCACCAAACGAACAGACTGTTCTTATGTGAATGTACTCCTGTCCAGTTTCGACTCCCAGTCTTGTCATCCTTCGTTGCCCATTGGACAGCCCAGAGACACTAACAAGACTGCATTGTCTTACACGTTGCGTGAGCCAGACGATCGCCGATGGGCTACTTACGTAGCCATCGTTTCAGGAGGCGATCCTGCGTGAGCTCGAAGGCGCCAAAGAACGCCTGCAGGCGCTTATTGCTGCCGGTAGCTTTACCAATGATGGGTGTTGTGATTTCGCAGCCTCTGCCCGTTCTTGCGAGAATGGCTGTGGCAACTCGGCTTAGGGTTCAGGGACAAGCAACAACAGAAGTTGGCACAGCATTGTCCATTACTGTTTTGGAAACACACGTTTCATTTAGCTGGGACTACCTGCCAGTACTGTGCCATTAGTGTTCCTCCATTGTTAGTATGGCTATGAATGTATATGTGTCACATTGTGTTTCTTGAGAGCGTGCACCTGATACTTGCCTCCGGGGACCTTGGTTCATGAAAGGCCGAGGAGCTGGCCACAGCTCATTGCTCATCATGTTTTCAGAATCTGGCTATGAAACCGCGACAGTGGGTTGCAGCTATGAAATGCGGTCCTGTTGTTAGCATGCAGTATGCTAGACAGCCGGGTACAGACATGTGCAGTTGGTGCGTTCAATGATCATGTTCACTCCCCGCATTCCCCGCCCACTTCGGCATGCTCATGTATGTCAACGATCTGATATCATCGGTTCGAGCCGATTTATTCACTTGCTTTGTCTCTGTCAGTGTCTCTGTCTCTGTTTCTGTCTCTGTCTCCGTATCTGCATGCATCTTTGCATTTGCATCCACATGGATGGTGCTTTGCGTTTCCTGAAGCAGCATCACTTGTGACCTGGGTGGCCCTTGGATAGGCAAGGATGACCCAGGGCCCGGAGAGTAGCTCAGCTTGTAATAAGCTCTTTCGGTTCACAATGGGACCTTTAGAGGAACCTGGACCATTCAGCCGTGATTTAGGGTGTCCGACTTGCACTGGCATGAGTGCAACAAGCGTGGAGATAGACGGCCCCAAACAGCCATGGTGAGTGTATACATAATAATCGGTTCCTTATAAATACTGGTGAGTGTACATATCGGGGATACTAGCAAACCCTACTTCATATACCTTCATACACACCTTCAGTCTATGGCCTCTGCATATCCACCTCGAGGGTCCCCGTACAAGGGTCCCTTTTCATCGCTAAAGTGAACGCCTCTGTCGGCTACTTCTTGAGAACCAGTCAAAGCGCAGGTGCCAAAGTCCCCTGCTTCGAAATACATGCGCTCCCAGACTGCAAGGGGCCCAGGAATGGTCCTCTCTCCCCGCCAAGTCTTGTCGAATTAGCCTTGCTTTCGCCGGGTTCTTCCACGCTGGATGATGCGGGACGCGCTCGGTCAAATCATGACAAAGACCCTCGTCACTGAGGCAGCAGCGTGCACTGCTGATGTTGCATCAGAGCTGCGCGGACCTGTGTAGTGCCGTAACCTGGAGTGTAATTTCCAGTCTCCCAAGAAATGCCGAGGCCTGCTGATTCGCAATGCGACCTCAAGGTGTGTGCTATAGGGCCCGTAAGTACTCGAGATCTCATTGTGTTCGCAGCCGTGTTCACAAAACGCTCTCTTGACCCTTCAGGCGGCGCATCCATCAACTCGCTATCAAAGGCATGCTAGCTCGTTTGAGACGTCGTTCACACAGTGACAACTGGTGCTCAACATTCTTGAGTCTGCTTCGAGGCGGTGGACGACGTCCATGTGCGCCCCTGCCTGTTGGCGCTTCTGTCGGCAGCGTATATATATATATATATATATATATATATATACAGATGGATGGGTATATGGATTGAACATGATAGGTCAGTGAATTCCTCAAACAGTCCCAAACAATGCTTGAACTTTGGGGTTCTTACGTTGACGGTGAAGAGGATTGTGTTGCTGGCCCGGACCGCAGCGCACGCACGCAAGCGGGGCCTCGAAATCGAAGACGCTCTTCTTGAATAGGCCCCAGGTGCATGGTAAATCGCCCACGATGACCCTCTCAGTGTTTCCGCGTGCTCGTGACGCTCTCGCTTAGGCGTCGTACGCATTTCAGACATTACAAATAGCATGCTTTTGGTTCTTAGCAGTGTGTTTGAGAATAGCGGAGCATGTCCCTCAACTTGATCTTCAAAGAAGAGGCAAAACTCTCTCTCTTACTCACGGATGACACGGATCCCCTAGCATGACGTCGTTAATGTGTTTCTCTCTCTCTCTCTCACCGAGATCATTGATATCGTTCGGAGGCTCGCGAGGCTTACAACGAAGGTGGGTAAAAAGCATGCTTTTAGTTTCGCGGCGGTTGTCCTCAAATCGTGCTCTTTAGGGCCTGCGCGCTTTTTGGGGCTCGCGCCGATTTCCCAAATTTGATTCAGTCGCGGGGGTTTCGGATTGACATGTTTTGCGGCACAAGCACAGGTTTGCAATGCCATAGACCATAGCCGACTCCAAAATTGCCTGCTGGCTAAAAATCAAAGGTCCAGTCTTGGCTGTAGCGGCTGTAGCAGCGACTTTCGCAAAGCTCGAAATGTAGTGCCTCCTGGGAGGCTTCCAAGGGCCTCCTGACTTCCTCCATGACGCATATGTTTTACGCACGAGCTGTGTCTTTCGGTGTCAGCCATGGCCTACGAAGACTACAACGACAAATTGGCGAAATCCGACCCCTGCTTGGTCAAACTTAGCTCGTGAAAGGGTTTACGAGGGCCAGGAGACCGATTATGGATTGTCCGAAACACCTGCAGAACTGTTGCAGAACCTTCTTCCAGCTGCAGCGAACGGATAGCGTGCTACCCGAAAATCGGCGCCAACAGTAAACGAAAGGACGAGGTCGGTATTGACGGCTGGTGTCAATCCCCACAGCGCTCACAAAAAGTACATGGATGGACGATGATGGATGTTTGCGCTAAACCTCACAGAAATCTTTCAAGGCTGGCTGTAGGCTACCGGGGCCTCATGGGATGTCCGAAGCGCATGTCTACGATGCTGTAAAATGTAAAGAATGAACGCCAGCGTTTAAATCTGTGGACATGGGTTGGCCCGCATCGAATTCGGAGATGTTCTCTCACATTTGTTCGAAAAGTGCTTGGGTACGGAGTCCAGAATTGTTCAACCCATGCATACATCGTGAGTGCAGGGGTATCGGGGGCTTTTTGGACCCGTCGCTCGAGGATGTCGAGGCACCGCTTGAGGCGCAAGCCGGGCCATAAATAATTTCAGTGTGTTTTTTGTCTGCCCTGTCGATTGCACAGAAATAGGTTCAGTTTCAATTCTCATGTGTGCTAGCAGGATACTGACCTGGCAGATCCGCTCGTGGAAGCTGGCGTCCAAGTTATGTTAGTGTGAGAAGTCTGTGCTGCGACCTTGGGCGTGGGAAGCCGCAGGAAATCAAGGATGGCTCCAGCAGCGGTCACCGCAAACCGAGCCGCATTACCTTTGAAGGGTCACTGCCCCGGTTAACCCCACAAAGGACCCGCAGTTGAACGGCAGCAAGCTGGCAGCTTCAGTCTCTTAAGCAGCGGCAGGCTTGGTCTTGCCTTTGATCGTGACCGAGGCTAGGGCAGCAATCTGGAGACGATCCATCAGCGCCTGACACAAGCGAGGAGGAGTCAAATGGGAGTCAATGGCAGTGGCTTTTTGTTGCCTACCTCTAGCCAACTGGACGTGCCTGCAGTTTTCCAGGAATCAGTCACACAGATTCTCATGGACTCAGGTGATCGAAGTTCGTTCAATTGGCACGTCTTTTTTCTTTTCTCATTTGTCTTTCGATTTTCATCAGTTCCGTAAACAGCTTTTCGAATCAGGTTTCGCCAAGCAAAATTCTGTGTGCTAAGGGTCTCTGGAGGTTGCGGTGTCTCGAGGGGGCCCGAGGCTTTCCACTTGGGTCGGGCCAACGAAGCTCCATGTGGTCGGTCAGCAAACGCATCTGCTCGAGTTGCACTTGGACCCTTTGAGGTAGCTGATGAATTCATCAAAGTCGGGAGCTTTTATCTGCTCTCTTTCCAAGAGGCAGTGATCGAGCGCAATTTCGAAGTGCATGCAGTTTTTCACAGGCGGTTCATACGAGGATGTTCTTACGTAAAGGTTTAGGCTTTCGTCGTCTGCCGCTCCCCACAACCGGATCAGTCGTGTCATCTGACACATTTTCTCCGTGGGTGAGCTTTGGAAACTTCGTTGCGCGACCTGCCTCGGCCGGGGCCTGCCCAGCGGCGAGGCAACCCCCAAAGAAACGCCAGACGAGGGTGGGTCAGGCGACGGTAAGGGGTCAGGCAGGGCTAGCTCTTAACGACGCGACTGCCTGCCCGCGCGTGATGCATGCACCGAAAGATCCTCCGCGAACATTGGCCATCAAAAACCCCACGCTGCTGTGATTGTCAACCGCGCATGAGAAGGATATGCCAATGACGCGGCAAAGAACCGGCTCTGGTCTTGGAAGTGCGTGGAAGTACGTGCTTGAATTCTGTAAGGATGGAATCTCATGTCTCGTGTATTCCACGGCTTCGCCTAGCAGTGCATTGCTGGCCAGGCAGCGACACATCCTCCGTGAATTGGTAGACTGCCGAGCTTGTATGTTGCATTGGTAGAAATTTGCTGTCAGCCGTGTGCACAATGCCTGCAAAAACCTCGAAGATAAGGCGTGCAGATGCTCTTGATCTTGGCGAATGCTTGGCAGCGGAGACAGCGGCGAAAAAGGCCTGGTGGAATGTTGGAACAGTTGCGGTGAAGAGAGCCAGTCCTCAAGTTAGTCCATTTGAAGGGCAAGACCTCAGTCGACTCCATCGTGGCTCTGGCCCCTCATATTGCAAGCAGCTGCAAGCACCGGCGCAACGGGCAGCCTCCAGTGTGCAAGGTGCTTTATTGGATGTGATCTTGATTGCAATTGGTAAGGTGCAAGCCGAGAGGGAACGATGGGAAGAGGAGAAAGAGGCTCGCTGCAGCCAGTCTGCAGCCCCTTTCTGCTTGCCACTACTACAGCGAGCGCTTGGGCCGGACAGGCCTTGGAAGCCAGCGTGGAGGAATTCAAGGCAACTGCGGACATTAATGCTCTGCACAACCATGGATGCGCGTGCCCGCGTTCCTAGACCTGCATCTCTCCTCTTGAAAGCCTTCGCATCCTTCGAAATCATTTGGAGACATTTGACAAGTGTGCGCAAAGACAGGAGAAGCTACGATCGCTGCAGGCCCGAGACGGACAGATCCTGGTTCAATCCTTGGCGAGCACCAGGGCAGTTCAAGTAGCAAGCCGCTTCGCTGCCACTTCGGTGCCATGACGGTTCATTCTCCTCAGATGTGCCGCGGGTATTCGTGCCTGATCGAACTTTTCCAGCTCTTACAACACAGTCTGCATGCAGCATGTCTGCGGCGTAGCGGAACTGTTGCATCGTCGAAGGCGGCGCGCAGCCCCGATGCAGAGAAGCAGGACCGCTGCTGGGAAGACAAAGGGGTTGTGCAACGATGTGACAATGTGCGATGTGCAACGGTTGCACTAGTTTGTTAAAGATGTTCACTATCGTGCTCAGAAATATCCCATATTCCTTTGTGGTCATATCTGGAGTTCTTAGTTATTCTGTTGTTGTCTTAAACTCTTTTGCGTGTAGTGATATGTCCATGTGAATGACAAATAACACATCAAAAAAGTAATAGAGCGAATTTGAAGATAAGTAATAGAGCGACTTTGAAGATGTTGATGGCAAACTAGGTAGTACAAGGTAATACCAAGGCATTGTGAATCTCAGTTGGTGTCATTCAATCAAAATGTTGAAACATATGCTCATTCAGCTAGTTTGAGATCATATACTGTAATTTTAACGCTACGCGACCCGCTTCGGCCTGGCCCGGCGCATCCGCGTGAGCATGGTGATTCCGCAGCGCCCAAGTCGCTGGACTCCAAGCAATAAGGGTCGGGTTTAGGGTTTAGGGTTTAGGGTTCCGGGTTTATGGTTTATGGTTTGGGGTTTAGGGTTGAGGGTTAGTTTAGGATTGAGGGCTTAGGGCTCAAGGTTCACGCTTTGGGTGTGCTTCGGGCTTAAGGTTTAAGGTTTAAGGTTTAGGGTTTAGGTTCAAGCTTAGATTCTTCGGCTCGTGTAATGCATCCCCGGCCGTGCTCACACCAGTTGAGCCTAAAACCCGCTCACCAATATTCTGTGGTGGCTGTGGGGGGGGGGAGGGGGGGGCAGGGGTAGGGGGGGGGCAGGGGGGGGGGGGGTAGGGTGGGGTGGGGGGGGGAAAGGGGGGGGGGAAAGGGGGGGGGGGGCCCTTGCTGGGAGGGGCTTGAACTGCCTCTGGTCCTGGCGAACCGTCCGCTTGCGGACCCCGGTTTCCTAGGGGGGGTACCCATTTGAGGCAAAAAATAGGTTTCTCACAACCTGTACACCTCCGTCCCGAGGCCTCGGCGGATTACTGAAGCAGAGGCAGTTGTTCGTTCATCAATAAATAAATAGTACTCCAATTGGAGTAGAATAAACTAAACAGAAACTGAGTAGGAACCAATGAAAATACTGACAGCCAGTCGATTCAAACATTTCTCTATCATTGGACTCTCTTAGGATCGACTAACCCCAGTCCAATGGCTGTTCAGCCTTCAAAGTTCTCATTTGAATATTTGCTACTACCACCAAACCAAGATCTGCACCAGAGGCTGTTTCGCTCAGGCTTGCGCCAGAAGCTGCACCACAACCTCTGCGCCCTCCTACTCACTGGACCAAGCTGGTTCACAATATATGTGTGAAATCTGTCCAGTCTATGCATAGTTGAGAGTCGTATAGTTGCATCAATCATATACATTCTTTATTACTATTGTCAATACTAGTAGTATTGTGGAATGTGTTTTCAAGTTCATTTTTCAAGCTTTGATTGAGGTTTAGATGTGTTACCATCATCCATTTTGCCAGGATATATTCCCCACAAAAAATTGGACATAAACTTGGTTCAAGTGTAGCATATTCAGTATCTTTTCAATGTTCCTGCTCATCATCTATCACGGGTCATTCCTCATCATTTTGCATCCGGGGTTGCGCAGGCCCTGAAGCGTGAGCACCAAGAGCTGCGAAAGGCTGACTGTTTCATGATCTGCAAGTGACCATTCTGACATATTCTGTCAACAGTTGGGATTTCTGAGGAGCATGATGCTGTTTTGTCGACACTGTTCAGGAAGCTAGCTCAAAGATTCACTGGCGGCTGTGGCATGCTGTTGGTGAAAGGCAATGAAAGCGCGCAGTCGCTTTGGCGCTTGGGTTTGCGTGCGGGCCTTGGTTTTTTCAGCGGTGGTCACAAGTGAAGTTGTCCTGGCACTTTATCGTGCTGGAAGCATTGAGGAGCGACACATGAAGGAAAGCGAGGACGAGGCGAGTTGATTTGTTGAGAGTTCGTTGTGGAGGCCTTTGTTTAGCGCATGCAAAGACAGCCAGGAGACAGATGCAGAAAGAGAGGACAGGCAGTTGTTGCTCAGTCTTGCGTGGCAATGCGCAGCTGGGAAAGTCACAGAGAAGGAGCTGCGCCGTCAGATGTCGGAGCTCTTCGTCAGACTACGCGCCGTGTCGGCCACAGACTTCTCTGAGACTTGGGATGGCAGTAGTAGAAGTTTTCATCTCTTAGCAGAAGTTTGTTGAAAACTTCGTTTCGTTAGGCGAAGGCGGTTGTTGGCGCGGCTTCGAGTGAGTCAGATGTTTCACCCAGGAGGCCTCCGCGGTTGAAGCATGTCGAAGCTCTGTCTGTCCGATTGAAGTCGCAGATCTAAGAAACGCCCTTGCAGTCCCGGGAAGGAATCACGGGTTAGCAGTGAACAGCATTCCAAAGCGTCTTTGCAAAGGTTGACCCTGAAGTGATAGCATACAGAACGGCAGAAACATGTACTCTGCACCGGCTTCGAGACGAGGAATACAAGCAGAATATTCATGTGCTATACAGTTTGCGTGCAAGTGATGTTCCTGGCTATTCCTGCGACATTGTGGGTGGCTAGAAATGTGGAGCGATGGGGGGTCTCAGGAATCCGCAAAAGTTCCTGTACATCTGAAGATCATGTATCGTGACTTCGGTGGATAATTGCATCTTGTGCGGTGGGTCTGTGCAGACATGTTCGAATACGCTGGAAGGAAGCTGTCTCCTCACAGTGATCTTTGCCACCGGATCTGCTTGCGCAAAGTTACTGCTGCCGTTACAGCATTCCTGGGCAGGTGCCCTGGACCGACGCTACGCCGCAGGTGATCTCCCTTTCCGTGGGATGCCAAGCCTCGAGGACTGATTCAGGGAGCGCTCGAATTTCTTCGAGATTCTCACTGGGAGAGTCTTCATGAATCACACAGACTGAGGTGGAGACCAAAGGAAACCGCGCTGGCGTGCAGACCAAAAAAGAAACGCCGGGCTCAGGGACGGTGTCTTGTGGCCGCATCTGTCGCAAATGCCTACATGGCGAGGCTCGACATACCACAAGAAGCAGGGCATGTGGTATTGCAGATCTACCTGGACTCACCAGATTCGACCAGATAACCATGCAGTAGGCTTGTAATATTAATACCACACCAGGGCAAGGAGACCTAGTCTCAGTCTCGTGTCTAGCAGCCTAGCACACAGCCTCAGCTTAGCCTGATTCCAGAACCAGAAGCCAGAGGGAAACGACAGTGTTCGTACGGCATGCCGCCTTGTAGCGAAGGCAGGGCAACTAAGCGGGCACAGATTGGCACATATTGACAACGACCTTAGAGGCAATCCGACGTTTGTGATGCGGGGGGACTGCATTAAACAGCCACCACGCTCGCAAGACGCACTCGCTTTGTCTCGGTTTGTTCGATGGGTTTCAGATGCTAGATGGGTGGCGTGTCTTTACGATCTTTTGCTTCTTTCCGTTCCCTATAACGTGTCGTCGGCACGAGGTTTCACGCTTTGAATGGTGAATCCGGCCCCCTGATGGTTGCGAGGCTGCGCTATGGGTGTGCGAGCACTCTTCCGGCCCAGATCCAGGCACAGATTCCTTCAGAAGGCAATCATTTCATGGAGCTCTTTGCAGTGCAGGCGAACCGAATGCAGGGAGCCTCCACACGCTTCTCGCCGGATCTTCGTAAACGTGGGCTGATTCCTAGCAGGAGTATGGTGGGGGCACAGCAGGTGTTCTAGTGGTCTTGTAGGGTCACATCAAGGCCTCTCCTGAGCTGCAAGATTCTGAAGGCGCACCAGCAGAAGCAAGATCGGCGAGAGTAGTGTCGTTCCGATTCCCGCGTGACCTTCGAAGCATGCAGAGGATCAGGCCAGCCTCAGATAGAGGGGGACGTGTTGCCATTGGAAAAACAAGCCGCCGCCTTGGAATGAATCGCTGAAGCTTCGTGACACGTCACAAGGTCTAGCGGGTATGGAGCTTGAACATTCCGGTGCAGTATGCTCTGAGGTCAGAGTTCTTTTAGCTTTTCCGCCCCGAGATCCAGCTTGGCTCAATGACTCAATAACTCCATGTCCAGAAGTGCCAACAGAGTCTAGACTGGCAACGATGACGCATGCACGGTGGTCGGGGTCACCATCCTCGACCTGACGTCTTTTTCGAAGCTGCTGAGAGTAATGCTGTCAGGAGGGCTGAAGGTTTTGCAACCCGTCGCACTTGCCCGATTTGGCCCCCTTCGTCGCATGCTTCTTCTCCCTGGACTAGGGCCTGGGGGATGTCAGCGCGGATACTTTTTCTTTTGGTCCAACAGCACCTCACACACAAAGTCGCTTACCCTTGTGTTCGAAGTGACAACTCTAGCGAGCCTCCTGCACTTCGACTTGTTGCTTTCGAACATGTTGTGTATATCCGTGGCTGTATATATCCGTGGCCAAATGTGGAGAAAGCGCCCGATGTTTTCTTCCCCACCCTCCTGCTCCATTGTTATCCTTTTGCGCTGCTTTCATGTCCACAGTCGGATTGCCGGACCTCCCGGGTTGGGATATCGATTGCGGCGATATCGCCGATCGGATGTTAGGTCCGAAGCGAAGAAAGCAGACTTCATGCCATCGCAGAAGCAGTTGGAAGAATGGTTGCAGGTGGTTTGATGGGCTTACTACCTTTACGCTCGAGCGTTTGTTGTCTTGATTTGCTTTGTACTCGCCAGCTTGCTGAAGCAGTCGTTGGTTGTGTTTTGCAAATTCTGAGCTTGAAGTGTCTGAGGTCAGAGAGGCATTGAGGCCACATCTAGCGACATTGCAGGTGGGAAGTCACTTCGGGGACAGTGTGTTCATGCAGATACTTGTAGGATTGTCTGTTCGATTCTTGCGGCGGTCACAAAAGCAGGAAGCGGCCCTGCACGAATTGGACAGCGCCGTGGAAAGGCTTCGCAAGGCCTTGGGCGATCCGACGCCCTTCATGCCTTCTAGAATCCTCTTGCCTTATCCCGGATCCCGGACTTTGAACTACCTCAGTCCGTGTCGTGTGTGTCTGCTTGCCCCCTTGCCATTGTCACGCCCTATCTATTGGCCCATTGAGACATGCCTTGCCTTGGTTTTCCAAGACCATGTGCGTCCTGTTCACGCTACACACTGAACAGGCGCAAATGTCTGCTCTGGGTGTGGAAGAACCCCCGGACATTGGCTTCCAGCGTGCTGTCTCTGTTCATGCCTCACCGTGGTGCGCCTTGCCTCTCGACGTGCGCTGCTGCACGTTGTTACTAGGCCGAGCCAACAGACTCGCCTCGAGCGAGAACAAATGGAAAGCCTGTCCCTGAGAGACTGCAAGATCTGCAAGCAAAGAAAGCCGCATCTGGTGTGCCTTGGTCATTGCATGATTTCTCGAATCTGCAACCCAGGGTGCAGTGGGAGGAGATCCGGCTCTGTGGTGGTGAATTTCACGTGAAACTGCTGCATGGAATTGCGTGGGCAGAATGCACAGGAGCTTCGCCCCATTCGGCGACCGGACAAGAGGCAGCACTCCGTGGCTTTACCAGCAGTCCAGCCTTGCTGCTTGCGAATAGTTGCGCATGCTTGCGCCAGGCGGTGGACAACCTCCATGTGGCTTCCCCAAAATCAACGTAATCGGGATAGTCAGCCATGCTCTTTCACACTCATCGACTTGGAGTTTGGATGTTGGCAGGGGCGGTATCGGAGGCACTTTGACGCCTGCATGCCTAGTACCGCCGCTGGAGGTGCTGAGCTTGAGAGTGATGTCTCACTAGGTGCTTACAGCCGTTTTGCAGGACGGAGATACACCAGCGACTTCAACTGTGGTCAGCGCGGCAGCTAGCGTCATCCCAGCGAGTTGCATGCGACTTCACTGGATTTACTGGCCTGGTCCTGCAGAATCTGGCAGGAAGTCGCTAGCGACAATTCAGACTCGCCTCCAATGTCCCGCCGAACATCCCTAAGGGACCGGAAAGCTATGCCGCATCATGCCGCCTGTTCCTAGCCATCATGTTCTGTGCGTTCATTTGTGCCCATCGAGTTAACTGCACAGGACGGCAAGGACATGAAGCATCGCAAAGCGATGCGTATCACCTTCGAGTTCGCGGGGTGACGGCCCATGACGGCCGGGTCCATGTCTCCAGCGCATAGTTGATGTAGCTTGAGGCTAGAGCAGCTCAAGGCGATGGACGAACCAGATGAGGAAGAGGATGAGCATACCACAAATGATCATGTCACAGGTTGCACTCCCTGAACAGATCTGAACAGTGTGTGTTGTGAAGTTCAGGACCTGCACAAGGGAGCTGGTGGGCGACTGAGCTGATCACATCGTCAGTTCACAATGGCTCATTTTTGACGCAATGTGGCGAGCCATGCAGGAGGCAGCGATACATCCTCGGTTGGCAAGAAGAGTGACGCATCCTCGATGAATTGGCACAAGTCTGAGTCGAAGAATCCAGCTCCGGTTACACCAGCGGTGCTTTGTGTGCTCGGTGCGACTTGCAATCGGTAGCGCAGGCGTGCTGATGCTTTGGACGTTGGCGAGAATCTGGCTGCTGAAGCTGTTGCCAAGAAGGACCGGGTCAGGGTCAACTCACACAACGAAGCGCTCGTGAACTAGCACAGATTCGGGAACAGCACCTGTCGGAGTGTCACCGTGGCTGAGGGGTTGTTTTGGAGCTCAGACTTTCTTCCACGAATGACATGGGGGGCCGTATGCTTTGATATTTGATGTTTGAAGAGACCACGTTGTTCGAATCCGTTCGACGTCTCTTGATAGAATATTTCCAATTTCCAAAAGAAAGAAAATGTCCCTGGGGGCCAAGATAAGCACCCAGAGGTGGCTGCTGAGAGAAGTGGCTTGGCAGGAAGGCACGCCAAGAGACGAGAGGCCCCAAGAAGCCACCCTACGAAGACGCGAGGGCCAAGAAACCAAGACGCCAAGAGGCCTGCAGGAGGCCCCCAAACGGGCGCCCAAAAGCTGTCTTAAACATGATCCCGCAAATATTCTATGTATGGGTTCCTCAGATATTCTACGTATGGGTTCAAAGATTCTATGTATGGGTTCCTCGAAAATCAACCCCGAAAAAACAAAACGCCCCGGAAACCTAAATTCCATCTATTCATGGATGACTATAAAGTTCAAGTGCAGGGCATGTCTGTCGACTCCATTGTCGCTTTGGTGCGATACCTGGCGCGTGTGTCTTCGAGCACTGTCGATTGAACCATGAACATGCCGGAAAGCAGTCCTGAAGCGCTCAGGTGCAAGAGGAGCGGGAACGATGGGAAGAAGAGAGACAGGCCTAATGTTTTCTAAACGTCTCGAATTCCGAATGCTGAGTGCTGCGTCACTTCCTGGTGAAAGCAGATTAAAGCACTGAGCTGCCGGAGCGAGGCTCTTGAGCTCCAGGCGGAAGAGCTGAAGGCAACTTTGCAAGCTATTGGACATTTTTTCTTACTTGCTGACGATGATTCAAACACCTGCCGGCCTGCCGGGGGCTTCTTCAAGTTGCCTGACGGCACTGTGCGAGTGCTGTCGTCATCTGTCATCCAGTCTCCTTGCTTGGGTGCATCGCTGCATTGTCAGGAGCAGCTGCGATCCATGCAGGCCGCAGTTGGAAAGGGCTGCTTTAGGTTTCATCCCGGGTTCCGTTGTTTCATGATTCACGCAAGACCTGCGATGCCCTTGGTTAAACATCTGCTTTTCTCATCCTGCCTTGACTGACTGACTGACCTGACAGCTCTAGCGGCTCTGCGCTATGGCTTTTTGTCAGGGCCACCAACAAGATCACATCGGGCGTGCTGTGTTTTTGACGACACACCATCTAAGAAGTTGCAAAAGTAGGATTGCCCCCAAATCCACGCTTTTCCAGCTTGAAATGCTCGAAAGGCAGCTTGCTGTGTGGCTTTGTTGGGCAGGCAGTGCACAGCCCTGATGCCGAGAAGAAGGTCTGGGAGACAGCGCTGTGAGAGCTGCACATCTTATTGTTCAGCCCCAATGAAAGATGACGACGCCCGCTTGACGCAGGCTCTCAAAAGCGAGCACCAGGAGCTGCGCAAGGTCATGCACGCCATCGCCAATGTGAGCATACGTTTGCCTTGCGTTCTGGAGGTCATGAAGGCGCGCAGCCGGTTTGGAGCGTGGGTCTGTGTCTGGGCCTTGGCGATTGGCGCAGACGAAAGTGATGGAAGTGCTTCACGGTGACAGTGGGCTTTGATGAGGAAAGGCACATGGCAGAAAGTGATGACCAGGAGACCCTTGTTGCGCCCAGCCACAGTAACCCTAATTTCGCCCGGGAGTAGGTACCTCTCAACCACCAAAAGTTGGGGTGACACAGTGCACACAAGTATTGCATGGGCTGTTTGAGCGACTGACAAAACCCTGTGTTCGCCGAACTTGCTTGGTGGGCCCCTATCGATTCTCCAGGATTGGCAACCTGACAAATGCAGCATCTCTTCGATTATCTAGGGGGTGTTTTTTGGGTGGGCCGCTTTCGATCTTCGAGCAAAAGTACCAAAAAAGGAAGGCACGCAACGTTAGGACAAGATTGGGTACTATAGTTTCGTCCGATGCTCAATACGCACTCTACGGCAACGATGCACAATGTCCCGGAAGCCTTGCCTTGCCGATCATCGGTGCAGAGGTCGTTATGACATTGAGCTCCTTTGTTCTGGTCCTGTCTCAATAAGCTTCGCACGCCTCTTGCATCACCAGGAGACGGATGCCGAGAAGGAGGATGCCCGAGCTTCTGCAGAGAGCGGGTAGTGAAAGAGGCGTTCAAAGTGGTGCAGGAGCTGCGGCGCCGGACAGCGGCAGTCTTTGTGACGCTTCGGGCTGTGCATTTCCCAGACATTTTCAGACTCTTGTCATCAGTGTGCAAGGGAGAAGCTTACAACGGTAGGCACGCGCGGCTGTGGGCGCAGCTTCCAGCGAGTCGGATGTATCTCCCATCCGAAGGCACAGGGCCATGAGAAGTGAGAAGACAGTTTGTGCGAGTCTCTGCTGTTCAGAGATCGACAAGTTGGTGGCTCTAGTGGCTCTGACATGCGTGTGCAGGCGAAAATTAGCCTGCAAGATCCTGCAAGACTTTAAGACTTTAAGATGTGCACATTGCGTGGGATGGGCCCTTTGCTGACTCTTGTGACTCTTGCGTGCAGCAGGCCGCCGGGTCCGGGTATTCGACGCGGGTGATTGCAGGATTCGAATGGCAGAGTTAGTCATGCCTGAGCAGCCCGGAAGGCTGCGGTCACATCGGTCACAGTTCACCGCATGTTTCGTAAAGTTTAGTACTTAGCTCGAAATGAGCAATTTATCCGCCTGCAAAGAACAGGCAGAAAGCCGGAAAACCCTGAGTAGAACAGTTCCATGCACGAACAAGTGCATCTTTGCCAGATTGTTCAAGTATCTCTTTGACGTAAGCATTTGTGTCCCTCGGGTCGAGCAAAAGTCTCTAACTTCGCAGTGCTGTGAGATGACGTGGCAAGTGGCAGAGGGGAAGAGTGCGTGTCTCGTCGATTCTGCACTGAGCTGCAGCCCGGAAGCATGAAAAAAAACATGCAGCAAAAGAAAACTCCCTCTCTAACTCACGACGAGTGTGGCTTGGTACGAAAGAAGTGGACCGCTCACCAAGACAGTAGGTAGGTCACAGCCCAGTCACAGCCCACAGCATGCCAGCATCCTGCATGATCCGCTCACACAAAGAGCGCCGATGAATCGCTGTACAGTGCAGATGCTGCCGAGAATTCTCGCAGCTCACTCCTAAAAACGCTTGCAGGACATATGAAGGCAGTCTTGCACGTAGCAGCTGAGCCAAGGCCCATCAGTGATCGTTATGTTGCAGTCTCAGCAGCCGGCAACGTGCAAGACGGAGCTGCTGTGCCACACATACTGACTCAAGACTTGAAGGTCACTTCAGCAGTTGTGGACCTGTCTCCAGGGATTCAGCCGACTATCCGGGTGTCTGCCTTTGCAGTGTTGCGGTGAAATTCAACGCATTGCAATAGGTTGGTGTCAAGGAATGTATCTGCTGCCCGAGACAGGATAGCGGACGACACCAATAGACAAGCTGAAGTCAGCAGCGAGGCATACCCCCGAAATGCTTGTGGTGTGTCTTTGTGTGTGTGTGTGTCTCTGGGCGGGCAAACGGTTGACCTTGACCAAAGCAGGGCCATGTCCGTCATGAGCATCTTGACCAGATGATCGACGAGGCCGATTGTGTGAAGGGTGAAGACTGACGGCAATGAAATGGCACTGGGCAGCTCTTTACAAACCGGCGAAGTCATCCACAAGGGCTTCAAGGGCAAAACCCAGACAAGCAAGAGGTTCCTTGCCAGAAGGGGTGTTTGATGGAGAGGCCTTGCAAAGCAAGGTCACGATGCCTGTTTGGCCTTGTCCGTTCTTTCAATGATCGCATGGGACTGTTCCTCACAACTGTGTGCTTGTCACATCTTGTCACTGAGCATTGACATGCTGACTTTGCAGTTGAACGAAGGTCGCTTCAGGCGTTAGACGTTCGTTAGGAGTCCTCGGGGAACTGGACATGTGCCTGTGCGCGCAAGAGCCGAGGTGCATTGTGACAACTGCACTTCAACAAAGATGCAAATCTTACTTTTCTTATGTTTTTCCGCTCCCTAAAACCACGCCTTCAACACAGAGTGTGTATTTCGATGCCTTTGCTCCTTCTGCCCAATTACCCGCCCAGAGAGATTGCCTGAAGAGCAGGGCAGCGCACAATCCAAGACAAGGATCTCCAAATCACCAACCACCTCCGCTCCGGACCGCTTGTTTCCGGCTTTCGAGCATTTCTCATGAGTTCTGGCCTGCTTCGTTGGGAAATTCTGGAAAGTGCCGAGCAGGTCCTCCAGACCGAGGTGGCCAGACTGCAAACCACCTTCAGCCAGCATTTGAGGGAGTACGAGGCTCCTTCGTACGGTCATTGTGGGCTCCTGAAGCTCCAGTTGCGTGTAATTCTGGGCCTTCCAACTCGTGTGTGTGATTGCATGCGTTTGTTTGCCGCTGAGATTGCAGGTGGCTTTGTCCCAACTCCGACATGAAAATGGACGTTCGTCGGAGGCTGAGTGAAGCTATACATCGCCCAAAGATGCAAGAAAGGACTCATGTGAGGTAGGTAGGTTTTATATGAGTGTTAGTGTTATTGCTGAATGTAGTTATGGCTCCTCAAAAAATCCCTACTCTCTCGTTTCTCTCTCTCTCTCTCGATATATATATATATATATATATATATACGTACAATTCCCCTCTGTGCTCCAACCTGTCATACCCAAGTCCCTGAGGAGCCCAAGTGCCACGAAAGTTGCTACACCCCGCTCCAGGTCTTCCACAGCCTGCTGAACGGCAGCTCCGATAACGTTCATGTCACGCCTGCTTTCAGAACTTTTTGCAGTTTCTCGAATCCTGGGTTTCCGAATCAGCGGGTTCCAGTTTCCCTAATCGGTTTCCGAATCCGCGCGCTCCCGTTTCTCGAATCACGAGTTTCCGAATCCGCGCGTTCCAGTTTCCAGTTTCCCGAATCAGCCCTTTCCGAATCCGCGGGTTCTAGTTTCCTGACTCAGCTGGTTTCCCGAATCCTGGTTCCCGAATCCACGCCTTCAGTTTCCGCGGTCTTGAGTTTCTTGAATCCCCGGTTTCCGAATCCGCGTTTTCCAGTTTCCTGAATCAGCGTGTTTCTCGAATCCTGGTTTCCCGAATCCGCGCTTTCAGTTTCACGAATCCGTTTTTCCATTTTCCGAATCAGATTTCCAGTTTCTGAATCCGCGCGCCTCCCACAGCCATAGGGTGGTGTTCGTTGGAGGGGTCTTGGGAGGAGGCCGGTCGTTTGATCAAGTTAACTTCCTTGTTGCCAAGGTGGGCGGGGCAGGACGTGGAGCTGTTAAGGCAGCAGGCAAGGCGTCGCAGTTGTGGTAGTTTCATTGGACTAGTGCTGGTCGGAGTTGTGAGGTGCAACTGATGGAGCGACAACGGAGACAACGTAATCTCGAAGTTGGGAAGCTCCGGAAGGCCCAACGACTTCACTCACATGGTGATCCGCTCTCATCGCTCGCTGGTGCATGTTGAATGTGGGGAGGCCATGAAGGAAGTTCGAAATGCGCTTTTCACGGAGACTCCTGCTGAAGCGCAGGACGTTCGATGCCATTGCAAGCCTAGCTCACTGCCAGTAGAAGATGCATCACAAGTATGAGAACTGTGAAAACTTCGCATTCACACATACAGTAGCAAATACATAGCAGTGGTGTGCGTTTGTGCGGTGTGCGGCCGGTGGTCTTATGAAACATGGCGTGTTCAGGGCCACCTGGCTGCCAAGCAACTTCTGGACGAGGTCAGCATCCCGCATGCTTCCGCAGCAAGTACCATGCAGTGTCTATGCACTATGTGCAGTGTCCATGCAGGTGCGCGCAGAACGCGAACGGAGGCTTGCTGAGAAGCACTACTTGGAGGACGCCTGTGTTGTGAAACGTGGTGAACTGGTCACCAACTCGTCGCGACTCGAGACGTGCTTCGGTCATGCCCCAAACGTTCGAGGCTCTGGTTAAGCTAAAGTTATTAAAGTCGATCGTTACTGTCAGGATCAGGTAAAGAAGTTGAAATCCGAGATCGAGGACGTTATCATGATGCTAGGCATTGTTCTGCATGAGCATGCATTTTTCTATGGTGCTAGCTGCATAGAGCTTGCAACAGGGTCTGTCTGCTTGTACCAGGATTTGGAGGGGCAGCAAGGCGCAACTCCGGCTATTGACCACGAGAAGGAAAAGCTCAAAGCTTCTGTTGGGCGCCGACGGCTTTCGGGGTCGTGCGATTTGGCTGGTTAAGGATGGTTAAGGGACTGCTGAAGCTCCGTTGCATCACCTAGGCAAGCCTAGCCTCCAGTGAAGATGTGTAGAATGCAGCTACTCATTTAATCTTGTGTTGCCGGGCCAATCAACCGGCGAATGCAGCCCAGAATGTCAATGTTTGCATTTGCATTGATTTAATGACGAGGTCTTGCATCGCCTCGTTCGGCTCAGGTCAGACAGCTCAAGATGTCGATCGAGTCGAAAGACCGATATGCATGTTGGGTGTCCGTCCCAGATTCTCATGCCACTGCCTCATGCTGCTGTGGATATCTGGATCACGAGCAGGTCTGCAATCGAGCTCATGAACGCCAAGACGAGTGTGGAGATAGCTCAAACAGCGGCGAGGCGAGTGCTGGACTTACTAGGCTGCTTGCTCCAGGATCTGTTGAGAGTTGGCCAGGACTCTGACAACAACGAATGCGTGATGATGCGCAGGTCCACTATGGTCATATATCTTGCCTCTTGCTGTCGTTTCTGGTCACAACCTGGGCTCTATGACCGTTTTGGTTTACCTTGGCGAGTAGTTGCAGAACGATCAGAACGGGCATTCGAGCAGCAACATCTTCAAGCCGTTCAAGCTCTTTTCCGAACGTCGCAAGATATGACCCAGCATTGTTTCACATCGTTGTGACAGCTAGCAACTGTAGCAGGCGCATGGTGGAGATGGAGGAGGAGATTCGCGAGCTGACTGGACACCAAGGTCAGTCGGACTGACGTTGAGTGCATGTGAGTGCTTGGATATTGCTTCTCGTGCATCTTCTAAGGTGCTGCGAGCTCCGTCTCTCAGCAGCCTGCCGCTTGCGAGGTTGCATGTTGTTGAAGTGTGGGCCCACGCAGGGTCGCGTGGACCAATGTGTCTTGTGTATCGGCCAGTGCAGGCCAGCCAGCGCAAGCCAGCTGCTGAGATTCCGCAATGCCTCGAGGATCAGCGCCGGAAAAGCCCTGGCAAAGAAGCAAGTGCTTCCATCTTTTCTCGACAGACTCTGAGGCCATCTGCCAGGGTGTCTCCGGAGCCTCCAACTGTGGCAGAGTCACCCTTGAGCCGCTTCCTTTGCAGAGTCGGCAGGAACGTTGCAAAATGTTGCAAACCTGCTAGAATCAGTAGGCCCATCCTCCACTTTGCGGCCCTCCCGAGAGCGCATGTGCTTCAGCTGAACGATTGTGTGGGCAGTGGGGTGTTTTCATGCGATTTTCGAAGCGCGTGCTTCGCACCGGCTGTACTCCATCATAATCGAGTCCTGATAGGGCGCATGCTTGTGGCCAAGGCCAACCCCATGGGCCGAGGCTGTCGGATATGTTCCGACGAGCTGTTGCAAGTTGCAAACTGATAGTTGCCAGAAGTTCCGCATCTTGAGTTGCTCAGGCTTCCGTCCTAGCGGAGGCAACTTTCACGTACAACTGCGCAGCTCAAAGACTGTCAAAAAACAAGCGTCTGCAGGCTTCTGTTCAGTTCTCAGAATCCGTCACAGCGGTCACCTCGCTGGAAGTTCCGGAGAATGTCCCAGAGGTCTGTGGAATTGTTGAGTTGCTGCAAAGACCTCGTGACCCTATGTGGAACCCCCCCCCCCCCCCGCCGTTCCCGCTTCCCCTTCCCCTCCCGACTCCCTTCCCCTTCCCTTCCCGCACCCTTCCCCCTTTCCGGGTTCGACAGGTGGGCAACAGGTCAGTGCGGGACCGAATCGCGACGCCGTACATGGCGGCCATGGGCTCCTCTGAGGCCGCGGCATTCCATATCGCTCGTACAAGTAGTATGCTATTCCGATTGTTGAGTCTGCAGGATCGACGAGTTCTGCTTGCGCCAGCACTGTCGACAGTTGAGGACCGGCTGTCCTGGTGTTATTGGATCATCTCTTGCAGGGCGCGGTGGGGGTGCCCCTGAAGTCAAGTTTGCCGGCTCTTTGTGGAAACAACAGGGTGGGAGGGTGGGTGCGGCAGTTGCTTTTGAAGAGGATCCACCTGGCCTTCCGACTGTTCAGGGACACATTGCAGAATCGGCTTATTGGAGCAGAGTTCCCACAAAATCCACAAAGGAGTTTGAAGCGCAGAGCTCCAGAGAGCAACTTCGGTCAAGCCGAGACAGGACCCGGAAATGTGCGGTTTCAGCTTGCGTTTTGAAGACAGTTAAACCCCCTTCCCTCGCAGGATGCCAACGCCTCACGTGAGCTCAGAAGTGATCCAGGATGGTATTCCTTCCGTCAGCCACGTTGCGCTTTATTTTGCACTTTGCCATTCAATTTGCTGGGAGGAGACCTTCTCTTCAGGGAAGACAGTTCGGATCTTCCCTGCTGTCGACATGGAGGCGTGGCCTTGGTGTCAAATGGAACCCTCCTTGTGTTTTTCAGTTATTCCTGTATTTCCTTCCTTATCCTTCGCGCTGCACCGTGCAGCAGGCCATTCCAGCCTCTGGCCGGCGACGGCCAAGCCGCGAAAGACAAGCCACTCCTTTCGTCAAGGACCGGCTGTTTCGAGCGTTGGCCATGACCTTGCCATACCTTGCCCAAATTTGCCAGTGACGTCGACACTAATTGGCACAGCTTCCCCTGCCGCACATAACCATACAAGAGTTACCGCCACACCGCCTACGTATGAGCTCTACTTTGAAATTGTTTTCTTGCCAGCCGAAATTCATGCAGCTCTCAAGCTTCCTGTGCTCCGTGGTGCACTCTTCCCAAATACCCATGCGAGTGCAGAGGACGAGTGCGAGCATGGCGGCGTATGTATGTGTTTAGAATTTAGATCTGACCGCTTGCTTTCTTGAAACAGCAGGAGGAGGACATGCCTCCCAATGATGCGCGGACCGTCCAGTTCAGCGGTGCAGTGAGCACCGAGGCTTCCTGCGCAAACTCGTAGAAATTATGCGAAATTCCAGAGATGCTGGCTGGGGGCACTTGGGGATTGGCTTGGTATGATGCTAGTGAGTGCTTAGCATATCTGAAGAAGCGTGACGAAGTCACAGAATTCAGGAACACTCCCCGGCACACAGCCAGAAAAGTCAGTGAGTGGGATTGTCGCCACCCAACAAGTCAGTGGGGCTGATAGGTTTTAATTAAGGCCAAAGTCAGTTCCAAGATCTTTCAGAAACACCGGGCAAATTAAAACCTTTGCAGACTCGAGACTTGTACTGGACACTGAATTGAGCCTCACTGAGGGCGGCACGACTACATAACAGAGAGATACATCGAGTTGCTGTGCCACGCATAAAATTGAGTGCATGTGTAGGTCCGTCCGAGTGCCAGGCCATTCCAGCCTCTGGCAGAAGACGGCCCAGCCGCGACAGACAAGCTACCCCAGATGTCTTGGTACCGGCCATGACCCTTCTTCTGCATGACCAGGAGGGGGACGTGCCGCCCAACGATGCGCTGACTGTCCAGTTCAGTGGTGCAGTGAGTACCGAGGCCTCCCATTCACCTTCCCAGGATGTGCATGCTTCGACTGGGTTTGGGGAGCGGACATGAGCGGACCATTCTGTACTGTGGCGGCGTAGGAAACGATGCCCTCGAGACAGGAGTGCTGAACAACCAATCGAATCATGGGCTCAACAAGCAAACCGAAGATCCCAGCCGGGCCAAGTAGTAGGACAAGTGCAACAGGCAGCGTCGTGGGAACAACGGCCCACAGACAGGCGGCTACAGTAGTACCAGGTAGCAAGCATGTGCTGCTAGCCCAAGTTAGCTGAAGCCTGCTGGTCCGCTCCTAGCACGGGAGAGAGCAGACAAATGTTTGGAAGGATGCTGGTTCAGCCAAGAGAGAGCACACAACCTCATTTACATCGGTCTCTCTCACTGGCGAGCCCAACCCCAACCCAAGCTAAGCTAGCCTACCCTAACCTAGTGGAACCTACCCTAACCTAATCTGCACTGCAAGAGGCCAGGTCCCTTAACCTAACCTAATCCAAACCTAAACCTAAACCTAGACCTAGACCTAAACCAAAACCAAACCAAAACCTAAACCTAAACCTAAACCAAAACCAAACCTAACCTAACCTAAGAAAACATGAAAGGGTTTAAGGGTGTGCTTTTCGGTCTAGGTTTAGGGATCTCCCCCAAGACACATGTATTGAAGATAGGTCTACTAAGTACCCCCCCCCCTATGATAGGCGTCGATAGACCCCAATACAGACCCCTACGGTAACAAATTTATCGCTTGCGCTCGAGCAGCAAGGTTTGCTTTACTTAAATAAGGGGTCTTTAGGGTTTAGGGTTTAGGGATTTTCAGGGTTTATGGTTTAGGGCTTTTTAGGGTGTAGGTCTTGGGGCGTTTTCGGGTTGAGGCCTTAGGGGGTTTTAGGGTTTAGGGGTTTAGGGTTTTTTCGGTTTAGGGCTCAGGTTTTGTTTTGGGTTGAGGGCTTGAGGCTTTAATTTTAACGCTACGCGACCCGCCTCGGCCCGGCCCAGCGCATCCGCGTGAGCTTGGTGATTCCGCAGCGCCCAAGTCGCTGGACCCCGAGCAATAAGGGTTGGGTTTAGGGTTTAGGGTTCCAGGTTTATGGTTTATGGTTTGGGGTTTAGGGTTGAGGGTTAGTTTAGGATTGAGGGCTTAGGGCTCAAGGTTCACGCTTAGGATCCCCGGCCGTGCTCACTCCAGTTGAGCCTAAAACCCGCTCCCCAATATTCTGTGGTCCGGGGGGGGGGGGGGGGGGGGGGGGGGGGGGGGGGGGGCGCGGGTAGGGGCCGGGGGTAGGATTAGGGAGTTTTAAGGACTTTTTCTAGGGTTTAGGGTTGAGGGTTTTTGCAGGGTTTTTTGGGGGTTTAGAGTTTAGGGGTTTTTTAGGGTTTAGGGCTTTTTGGTTTAGGCGTCAGGGTAGGTATTAGGGGGTTTTAGGGTTTTGGGTTTAGAGTTTAAGGGCTTTTAGGGTTTAGGGGTTTCAGGGCTTAGGGTTCTTTTAGGGTTTAGGGGTTTTTGGGGTTTACAAACACCATGCTCACATGATGGGCTTGAAACAACATGCCTATGTTCAGGGGTTTTTAGGGTTTAGGGCTCAGGGGTTCTTCGGGTGTAGGGCTTAGGGCTTTTGGGGTTTAGGGGTTTTTAGGGTTTAGGGTTTAGGGTTTTTTAGGGTTTAGCGTTTCTAGGGTTTAGGGTTTAGGGCCAGGTTTTGGGGGTTTAGGGTTCAGGGGTTTTGAGGGTTTAGGATTTTTAGGGTTTTAGGGTTTTTAGGGTTTTAGGGTTTTTAGGGTTTTTAGGGTTTTTAGGGTTTTTAGGGTTTTTAGGGTTTTTAGGGTTTTTAGGGTTTTTAGTGTTTTTAGGGTTTTTAGGGTTTTTAGGGTTTTTAGGGTTTTTAGGGTTTTTAGGGTTTTTGGAGGGCTTAGGTTTTTTAGGGCTTAGGCTTAGGGTTAGGCTACGGAGATGGCCTGATGCAGAAAGCACAGTCATGCTTGGCTGATTCGCCTTTCACCCTGTTTGGAATTAAACCTGGAAACCGGATCTGCCTTCTCAAGTTTCTGGAACACCCTTTCCGCTTCTTGCTCAAGACATGTGTATGCCGTGTATGACACATTATGAGGCGTCGCCGGGTGTTCAAAGTCATGCCCCCTCTTTCCCGAAACCAGGATCTCCATAGTAATACAGCGTTACTACAGCATCCCTGACCACAGCAAGGAGTTATAGGCTTAGGTTCGCTGCGCCGCCAGGCCATTCCAGTTTCTGGCAGAAGACGGCCAAGCCGTGAAAGACAAGCCACCCCTTTCGTCAAGGATCTGCGCAGTTTTTATGGCTAGCTGCTAGCTGCGCTGTTTCTGTGAGTCTTGCAGCCTGCCTTGCATGACCAGGAGGGGGACGTGCCGCCCAACGATGCGCGGACTGTCCAGTTCAGTGGTGCAGTGAGTACCGAGGCCTCCCATTCACCTTCCCAGGATGTGCATGCTTCGACTGGGTTTGGGGAGCTGACATGAGCGGACCGTTCTGTACTGTCGCAACGATGCCCGCGAGACAAGGAGAGCTGAACAGCCATTCGGTGCCTGAGCATTCAACACTATCGTCGAGCCGGCGCACCATGCACAACTTAACTGTCCTTCAGCGCGGAGCAAGATCATTCGAAACTCCTCCAAACCTGGTAGAATACTGGGCCATCTGCGGCCAGAAAAACGATCCTTCAGAATCTCGGGATTGTGCGCATGGGTAGCACGGTCCCTGATTGGTAAATGCTTCCCCCTTGCACCTATCCGCGTGTCTCGGGTGGTGTATTGGGTTCCTCGCGCTTCTTGACCCTTTGATTTTGCAGATGGCAGGTTGCTCCATCCATATTTTTCCTTTGCTCTTTCTCTCTCCCTCATTCCAGACTCCGAGGCTGGACCGTTTTCAAGAGAGCATGCAAATCATGCAAGATTGCACTGGGTCGCCCGCAGTAACTCAGATGTTCGGAAAATGCGGGGCGCAGCGAGAATGCGCGGAAGCTCAACTCGCAACTTGCGAGCAAGGGCTTGCAAGAGTTAATTTGGCTGTACCCTCCCAAGCCAGCTCAGGAAGAGTCACAAACACCGAGAATTAGTGAGCACTGGTACACGCACGTGCAGAGTTGGTATGATTTGGTCTCGACAAGTGCGATCGTGGATATGGATAGACATGGTAGAATGTAGCTCTGAAGCAGCGTGTGTGGCACGCCAGGCCATTCCAGTTTCTGGCAGAAGACGGCCAAGCCGTGAAAGACAAGCTACTCCTTTCGTCAAGGATCTGCAGTGGCTGTCGCTGGCCATAACCTTGTCCCTGCTTTGCCGGGATCTGTGTTATGTGCAGTTGGGAAGGATGGTGTGTGCAGTGCCAGGAGGATGCCTTGCCTCCTGATGCACGACGCGTGCAGTTCAACAGTGCAGCGAGGTCAGAGGCCTGCGGACGCCTCGAGGTTTGCAGTCGTTAGCAGAGGCACATTGCTCTGTTCTTCGTCGGAAGGTCAATGTATGTCAATGTTCATCGTTGTGCAAACAGCCGCTACTGGAATGTGGCATGGGGTTTTGTGGCCACCCGTGATCTCTTTGATTGTGTCCAAGACTCGACATGAGCCAGACGTTCCACAATGCGTTGCATCCGTTTGGTGTGGTTCTGCCTCTTTCGTGCCCGAAGGCCTCGGCGGCCTCGGCCGCCTCGGTTCAGTTCTCCGACGCTGTTTCAACCATAGAAAACCCAGCGCCGGAGCTGCCCGAGGATGTGCCAGAGGTGGATGGTAGGGAGTCGCAAGATGCTTGATACTGCTTAGGCCATTGGTGGTTTCCAGCTACGCAGAGCCTTTCCAGGTTGGTAGTCGGCCAGTCCGCGACCACATCACCACACCCTACGCGTCAGCAGCGGCTGCCTTGTCTGAGGCCGATCCGATACATTTCAATATATTTCAATGCCAACACATTCTGACAATTAACCAGCTGAAGTTGACACAAGTTGACTGCATTATATGCTACCAGACACCTTGCAGGACCGGCGAGTGCTGCTTGCACCGGTGGTGTCGACAGTCGAGGACGCGTGATGTTATGGGACTCAGAGGACACGTCTAAAGAAGCATTAAATCATTAAGTCTTCATTGTCGAGGAGTTTGAAGTACAAGGCAATGAGACGCTCCGATCGAGCAGAGACAGGACGGAACGCATCAAACACGTGCAGAAGTCTTGCAACTCAGCCAGTCTGTTCTGAGGTGTATTCTGGTCAGAACCTGTGGGGAACGCCAGGGATACATGGGGGTTCTCTCGCCAGTACGGCACCCACTACATACCCGAACCCATTCCTCTATGTTCACCTCTTCTCGGCCAGCACGGTGTGCTGCCATCACTTGTGTGAGAGGATGCCAACTCCCCACGTTGGTGCCGAGATCATTGAGGATGGGTTCCTGTTTGTGTAGTCAAATACCTTTGTTGTTTGCCCTTGTCAGGAGACCTTCGCAGACACGGCAAAAACTGTTCGGATATTTCCTGCGGCAGATATCGAGGCCCAGGACTGTTCACGACAGACCACTCGGAGTGCAAGCGCGCACTTGAGCCAGAGAGAGGGAGCAGAACCCAAAAGGTTCGTAGGTAGTTGCAGTGCACAGGGAGCCGACCCATGATGGTATGGGCGTTGATCGATTCATGTTGGGGTTAGGTGATGGGAAGCTCCACACTGTACCAGGCACTAATATCACACATCTTCACATCGACTGACCCGGTAACACGTGCCTTCGGGCGGCCCCTCCCGTTGGGGGGGGGGGGGGGGCATAGGTGCGGAAGGAAGGAAGAGAGCATCACATGCACTCATGGGAGGAGACCGTGTGACATGCACGTTTCGGGTGACCCCAGGGAGCTAGGCGTGCTGTAAGAAAGGAAGGATGGCAGACCGGCAGGAAGGAAAGAAGAGAGGGCATAACTAGTCAGTCGAATACCAAGGTGACGATAGGGCACAATAGCGGACAGGGGGTCGTCTTCGCTGGGTATAAGGGCGAGGGAGAGTGAGAGAGAGAGAGAGAGAGGGAAAAAGTGCAAAATGACAAGGGGGCTGGACAACATCATCGAGATGCTGGAGGGCGCGTAGCCAGCGGATGCGATCGCCATAGCAGAAGGGACGAGACAGAAAAAGAGAGAGAGAGAGAGAGCAGCGGGCCATCCATACTTTTGATAGGGCTCACTGCTGCCGGCAAAAGGCCGAATCAGGGCTGGTTGGGCGGGACCGGTAGCGAACGAACCCTCGAAATCGCAATGAGAAGTGTCTTCAGCCTGAGACATGAGGCCACTTTGTCGAAGCCGAACCTGGGAATTCTGAAAGTCAAGCGATCACGTCGGCAATAAGGCTCCTATTAAGTGAACAGTAGAATGATGTGAATCGCCAGGACAAGGGTTTGATGTAAATCTTGAATTTCGGAGGCAGTCTCGCCTGCAGCCATGAAGTGTACGCCTTATAATCGCTTCGAAAGCCTGACGATATCGCTCGTCATACCACAGGGAGAGAGAGTGAGTCCCAGTAAACGACGTAGGGGGCTGATATTACTTCAGACAGAGTGTGCCATGCCGATTGTCGGGGAGGGCTGTGAAATAACCAACCTCGACAAGTCCGACCAAGACAGAACCCCGTAGAGTTTTGGGTTCGCGACTGCACGGAGTGGAGGTGACCCGAATCCCCCATGCGCCATATTTGCACCCAGGAGGGGAGGAGGAGACGACGCAAGGGTTGCTGTGGGGAAGGGCGTTGAGGAGGTATATGGAGGCATAAAGTATATCACATCGACTGGACTTCGTAGTCGCGTGACGCGCTCAGGGCTAAGCTCAGTTGAAGGACCTGCACCGGAGTGTGCAATCTGTTCGCGCATGGTTTCCACGCTGCTAGAAAGACCGACTGAACCTCTCGTGCACGAGCACGCCCAACCCGGCCTCCCTCCGAGGGATGCACGGCAATGCACGAGAAGTGCTTTCTAGATTAAGAAAACAAATGCGAGCGCGGTTGGGGCCTGCTTGCCAGGCCATTCCTGCTTCAGGGCGGAGACGCCCCAGTCGAGAAAGAGAGGTCACTCCTTTCATCAAGGAGACAGCCATTGTGTTTCATGGGCACTTGAAATGGGGAGGATGCATGGACCAGAGCTTTTTCAGCTCGGTGTTCACAGGTTTGCGTGCATGTTTGGGTTTTATTTCCCACCTTGAATTGAATAATCCCGCTCGGCTGCTTGGCTGCAGGAAGCGGTTGCCGATGAATCCCGGGTCCAGTTCAACGATGCGGTCAGCACTGAGGCCAGGGGTCAACTTGTAACTAGGCCATGGATGGGACACTGCGCACGTAGACAGCTCGGTTTTTGTACGTGTGGAATCTGTTTGGGAGATCTCGGCGGTTGTTTAGCATTGAAGTGGCGGAGCAAAGTATCAATTCGACTGGACGCGCGACCCCCTCGGGGGCTAAGCGGCAAAGCTCAGTGGAATGCAGTCATAGCTTATAGATGATGATAACAAGTGCGGACGAGGTTGGGGCTTGCTTGCCAGGCCATTCCTGCTTCAGGGCAGAGACGCCCGAGTCGAGAGAGAGAGGTCACTCCCTTCATCAAGGAGACAGCCAATTGTGTTTCACGGCGATCTGAAATGGGGCGGGTGCATGGACCAGAGCTTTCAGTTCGATGTTCACTGTTTTGCCAAACACGTAGGCAATGTCGTTTATGTTAGTGTTATCAAACTTGCTTTGAATGATCCCGGTTGGCTGCAGGAGGCTGCTGCCAATGAAGCCCAGGTCCAGTTCAATGATACGGTCAGCACTGAGGCCATGAAGTCTGCAACTAGGCAATGGATGCGCCATATGGACGCTGCGCACGTCGAAAGGTTTTTGCACATGTGAAAGTTGTTTAGTTTAGCATAGAAGTTATCATAGAAGTGGCAGAGCAAAGTGTCGCATCGACTGGACGTGCGACCACTTCCCTGGCTGAGCGGCTGAGCTCTCTGTAAGGAAGTTACAGAGTATGGATGAAGAGAACAAATGCCAACGAGGTTGCGGCCTGCTTGCCAGGCCATTCCTGCTTCAGGGCAGAGTCGCCCGAGTCGAGGCCGAGAGGTCACTCCTTTCATCAAGGAGCCGCCATTGTGTTTCACGGCCACTTGAAATGTGAAACTTATTGCCCAACTTTCCCTGAATGATCCCGCTTGGCTGCAGGAAGCGGTTGCCGACGAAGCCCGGGTCCAGTTCAACGATGCGGTCAGCACTGAGGCCAGGGGTCAACTTGTAACTAGGCCATGGATGGGACACTGCGCACGTAGACAGCTCGGTTTTTGTACGTGTGGAATCTGTTTGGGAGATCTCGGCGGTTGTTTAGCATTGAAGTGGCGGAGCAAAGTATCAATTCGACTGGACGCGCGACCCCCTCGGGGGCTAAGCGGCAAAGCTCAGTGGAATGCAGTCATAGCTTATAGATGATGATAACAAGTGCTGACGAGGTTGGGGCTTGCTTGCCAGGCCATTCCTGCTTCAGGGCAGAGACGCCCGAGTCGAGAGAGAGAGGTCACTCCCTTCATCAAGGAGACAGCCAATTGTGTTTCACGGCGATCTGACATGGGGCATGTGCATGGACCAGAGCTTTCAGTTCGATGTTCACTGTTTTGCCAAACACGTAGGCAATGTCGTTTATGTTAGTGTTATCAAACTTGCTTTGAATGATCCCGGTTGGCTGCAGGAGGCTGCTGCCAATGAAGCCCAGGTCCAGTTCAATGATACGGTCAGCACTGAGGCCATGAAGTCTGCAACTAGGCAATGGATGCGCCATATGGACGCTGCGCACGTCGAAAGGTTTTTGCACATGTGAAAGTTGTTTAGTTTAGCATAGAAGTTATCATAGAAGTGGCAGAGCAAAGTGTCGCATCGACTGGACGTGCGACCACTTCCCTGGCTGAGCGGCTGAGCTCTCTGTAAGGAAGTTACAGAGTATGGATGAAGAGAACAAATGCCAACGAGGTTGCGGCCTGCTTGCCAGGCCATTCCTGCTTCAGGGCAGAGTCGCCCGAGTCGAGGCCGAGAGGTCACTCCTTTCATCAAGGAGCCGCCATTGTGTTTCACGGCCACTTGAAATGTGAAACTTATTGCCCAACTTTCCCTGAATGATCCCGCTTGGCTGCAGGAAGCGGTTGCCGACGAAGCCCGGGTCCAGTTCAACGATGCGGTCAGCACTGAGGCCAGGGGTCAACTTGTAACTAGGCCATGGATGGGACACTGCGCACGTAGACAGCTCGGTTTTTGTACGTGTGGAATCTGTTTGGGAGATCTCGGCGGTTGTTTAGCATTGAAGTGGCGGAGCAAAGTATCAATTCGACTGGACGCGCGACCCCCTCGGGGGCTAAGCGGCAAAGCTCAGTGGAATGCAGTCATAGCTTATAGATGATGATAACAAGTGCTGACGAGGTTGGGGCTTGCTTGCCAGGCCATTCCTGCTTCAGGGCAGAGACGCCCGAGTCGAGAGAGAGAGGTCACTCCCTTCATCAAGGAGACAGCCAATTGTGTTTCACGGCGATCTGACATGGGGCATGTGCATGGACCAGAGCTTTCAGTTCGATGTTCACTGTTTTGCCAAACACGTAGGCAATGTCGTTTATGTTTGTGTTATCAAACTTGCTTTGAATGATCCCGGTTGGCTGCAGGAGGCTGCTGCCAATGAAGCCCAGGTCCAGTTCAATGATACGGTCAGCACTGAGGCCATGAAGTCTGCAACTAGGCAATGGATGCGCCATATGGACGCTGCGCACGTCGACAGTTCGGGTTTTGCACATATGTCGGCCCGGCAATTGTTTGGCATTGAAGTGGCGGAGCACAATATAACGTCGACTGGACGTGCGACACCTTTGGGGGCTAAGCGGCTAAGCTTAGTGGAAGGAAGCTATAGATCATAGATGAAGAAACCAAATGCGAGCGAGGTTGGGGCCTGCTTGCCAGGCAATTCCTGCTTCAGGGCGGAGACGCCCGAGTCGAGACAGAGAGGTCACTCCCTTCATCAAGGAGCCTCCACTGTGTTTCAGCCACTTGCAATGGGGGGGATGCATGGACTAGAGCTTTTCATTTCGGTGTTCACAGGTTTGTCAACAAGGGTTACAAGTATGCAATTTGGTTTGCGCATGTTTGTGAAATTTATTGCCCAGCTTTCCGTGAATGATCCTGCTTAGCTGAAGGAGGCTGATGCCGACGAAGCCCGGGTCCAGTTCAACGATACGGTCAGCACCGAGGCCATTGGTCAAGCTGTAACTAGGCAATGGATGCACGACATGCACGCCGTTCATGCTGACAGTTCGGGTACTGCTCCAGAAACTAGGGCGTGGGCAGTTGCAAGCAACATTCATCAAGCAGCGTCTCTCATCGTAACAGCAACCCCACAATGCGACATGGCCTTTGAATGATTTGCGCGGGCCGGAACCGGCTTGACTCTCACACAGAGTTTGCTAATGGCAGTGTAATAACAATAAGCCGAAAGCAACTCCAGTTGCTGTATTTATCTGGGCTTCGGCTCAACAGAGGCCGAAGGTCTGTGCCAAATACCCGCGCCCGCCACACCTGTCTGTTGTTTGATGGTCTGAACCAGGGCCTCGGCAAGACCGTCGAACAACTCGCCAAGTACGCCGTGAACATAACAGATGCGTTGTGCGACGCTGATCCTCGTGACTGTCAACAGTTGCGACTGTTGCGAGAGCAACGCGCCCCCCATGTCTCATCCTGAATGTTGGTCGTGTTGGTTGTGGCAGGGTTGTGTTGGGCCGGGCTCGCAAACCGTTTTGTCGCGGCCGTTCTCGACTGGACCCCTCTCCGTGCTGCACATGCTGGCTGAGTTATTGACTCTCCCCTTCCTAATCCTCAGTGACGACAATTATGAAGATGTTGACTGTCAGCACTTTTTATAATTTAAGGCATGAACATCAAATTAAAAAGTGCAAAAGTGACGACAGTTACCAGGATGGCGCGCCCCACCTGCCTCATCCTCCTGCCAGCACTGTTGAGACCTCGACATGAAACATCATGAAACCATGGTCCAGACGTGACGACAGTTCCGAGGATGGCGCACCCCACATGTCTCATCCGGGTGATTGCCCGCATGTTTCAGGCATCAACTTCCAAAAGCGACGACAAACGACGGTTACGAGCATGCCGCATGCGCCTGATGCATGACACGCACGAACGCCAGTGGACACTTGTGAACGCTTGCGGACGCGAAACACACGATGTCGGGCATCCCCCTGGACCCCGGGAACCTCAACTCTTGAAACTGCTACGCATTCGGGAGTTGCCCTAGATTTTTTTTCAGCACGCTGGTTGTGGAAGGCAACGCTTTTGAGTTTCCTCTTTCGGCCCTGCCTTGGTTGCCGTTGCAGGTTCAGCCCGTCTCAGAAGCCTGGCCGGCTCGCTTTGGCTGTCTCGATCTGCTTCGGAACATGATCCAGGGCTTTACTTTTCTGGATCTCCGCGACAGAGGTCCTGACATGTTTTTTGTTCTTGTGCGCGGACCTTGCGGATTCGTGACCGGATACTCTGCATAGTCACTCGTAACGGCTTCCGAAGCTGATCAAAGTGCTGCAGACGTGCAGACGTCACGAGCAAAGTCCGCGAATTGCGAAGAAGCTTCGTGAAGTTTTGAATCGGTAGAGGGGCGGGAGTCAGGAGTGTTTCGGACATGCGTGAAGCCATGAGGGCAGATACTTTTTTGCCGTCACGACGTGGCATGTTGCTTGTGGCTTATTAACGGAGGACACATCCGTTCAGGTTCGACAGCTGCGTGCCTTCCACAGAGGGCACGTTTGCCAGGTTGGTTTGAGATCGACTCGCGATCGACTTGCGACACCATTTACCCCATCGTCTGCTGATGCTGAGGATCTCGCCTAGATGGGTAGGGATCAGTAGTTACCACTTCCATTCCATTGTCGTGTTTGAGAACCCTTTGTTGCGAAGGATCGCAAGGTGCTGTTCGCACCGGTCTTGCCCGTTGTTGAGGCTCGGGATGCTCATGACGAATATGCACCTTCGCTTGTGTACACATGTCTAAGCATCGTGTTCATTTGCATGTCAATCAGTTTCGATGCATTGGCGACGAGCCAGCAACGAATGTCTGTGCGTGCTTGCGACTGAGAATATGAATCAGTATCGATGCCGCCTTTCTCTAGACTTCTACAGCGACTCTACTGTTTAGATTCTGATAGCTTGATCGGCACTTGGTAAAGAGGGTGAAGGCAGTTCTTCAGAACTCGTGACTTGTGCTTGCGCCGTCCCCACCATTGCGAGCAAGCGCACATGCGCTGTCTGCACAGGAGTTCGAACCGGGAGGATCTGAGAAAAGGCTTCGGTCAAGTCGAGACAGGCGAGAGCGGGCTAAGTGTCATGTAGGTGCATGGCAGTACTTCAGATTGCTTGCAGGATATGCACTCCGTTCGTGAGCTCTGAGCTGGTGGAGGAGGCATCGCCGTTGTGCACCGTGCAGAGCTCAAGAAACGGATGACAATGCGGCGCTGCGGCACGAAGGATGTCTGCGAAAATGATGGTAAGACCGTTCGTGTCTTTCCAGTTGCCGACGCAGAGGCAAGGTGCTCTGACTCCTCGGTCTTCTCGCCAGTGCATCGCCTCACGCTGCCGCCATGTTTGTCTGGGATCAGGCCATTCCGATTTCCGGCCAACGCCGCCCGAGCCGAGATCGCCAGGCAACTCCTTTCTTCAAGGAGCTCCGGATCAGACTGCCGAAAGTGGTCTTGCCAACTTAGTGTCAACTTGCTGACTTACTTTGAGCATTTGTAGATTAAAGTTTATGTCGCCTGCTATCCTCGAAACACATGAGTATCTTGGAGTTCAATAGCAGGCACACATCATGAAGCAATTAGTTTTGCATTTTAGATGCCTTTCAAACTCAGTTCCCTGATGCTGCTTTCTCCACCTTCTTCAGAATCTTCAGACTGCCTTCCACCACTCACTCCCCATGCAGTTTGCACTTCTTGACAAGGCCTCAGCCATGTCTCTCACCAGCCGCAAAAACAACCAAGAACGACGGTGCACGAGATGGACCTGCAACTGAAAACAAGCCGTGTCATCATTAGTTTTGCATATTCTTGCATGCCCATGTCCCAAGTCTGAGGAGGACCTGCCAGAGGTGCAGACTGTCCAGTTTAATGAAGCGGTCACCGAGGCTTCAACGGGATCGGGTTGGACGGTTTTCATTTTGCAGCTGTCCAGTACACGTGACTTGGCGGCTTTGTGCTGCCTGTGGGATTGAGTCACGGTCGTCCAATTTGCGTCTCAGATCGGTTCACTGGCTATAGGAGGCCTATACGGTGACGGAAGGCTACGAGGCAGCGCTGATTTTGGCTTGCTGGTGTCATGCCTTGAGCCCGTACACACAAGACACCTGATGCAGATTGGACATCGCTCAACGCGGGAACGGATTGCAACTCCATGTGCAAGAGATTTCGACTTCAATGCAGAGGCCTGCATGTCGCAGCGCGATTCCGGTAATGCGCTCGCTGGAACCGAAAATCTTATGTACATGTATACACTTATACATTTAGTCTATTTTAAGCGGCTGCGCCCATTGGCGGGCAGCGCAGGCAGAAGCTCGAGGAGAGTTGATCTCTTCTTTAATGCTTTTACAGGCTGCCGCCAATGCTGCTGCAAACGGGGGCGCTACCAAGTAACATGGCTAAGATTCCTTAGCACCCGGGCTGCAACCCCACGAAGACGTCCAGCGTCGAGGGAAAGGCCATCATGGTCAGATGTCAGGCTGGCGACCTAAGCCTGGAGCCGCTCATGCTCATGATGCGCGGTTTTGGGGGGAAACTGCGCTTCTGGTGCTCATGATGCGGGCTCCCTTTGGGGGGCCTCCGTGGCTACCCCAAAGTTACGCAAAAACACACCAAAATGGGTGGGTCTGCGGCACTGCCGTCCGGCATATTTGTGCTACGCACAAGGCCAGTTCGACTAGCGCGGGAAAACCCCCGTGTTGCACCGGTCCGTGCCAGCCCGCAAGGGGCACGGCGCTGCCCGATTTTTAAAGGCTACCGCCAGTGCCGCCGACCCCCCAAAAGACCAATCCACTATCAAGCCCCTGAAACCAACACAGCCTTAAACGGTGGGGGCGGCGGAGGGGGTGGGGGCGGTTGGGGCCGGTGGGGGCGGTGAGGGCGGTGGGTTAGGGCAAGCGCTGGAGCCCTTCGAAAACAAGCTCATCCACGGCGGAGCCTTGTGAGCCTCTTGAGCCTCCGCAAAGTCAGTGAAACCTCACCAGCACTGAGCCCCAAAATGTGAGCCCAAGCATGCTGCCCCGGGTCTTCGTTGCTAGCCAAGGAGTTCCTCGGCCGAGCGAGGTGGGGGTGTTCCCATAAACGTGTCAACCCCCCGCACCCCACCCCCCCCTTGCGCTGCATCTCCTATGTCCTCAGGCCTTAAACTCTAACCACATACAAGCCATTCACCACATTCCCATGGGCCCATGGGCCCACTACGTTCCTTGGAACAAATCCACCCGATTGAGGAGCTCGGGCACAGGCTCCGACACTTGCTCGGCCACCTCGTGTTCGAGTTGGTAAAGGCCTAAACCTTAAACCTCAAAACACATAACTTCTCCACTTCCTGCAAAGCCAAAACATTCCAATAACCTGAAGCCTCCAAACTCACTGCGCCAAATCCCCAGAACATCCTACTCCGGCAAGGCCCTGAAGCCACAAGCCTCAAAACCTCTTCTGCCAATCAGACGCAGGGCTTAGGGTTTAGGTGTAGGGATACGGTGCGCTGCGCAGCCCCCCCCCCCCCCATTTGCAAACACAATGCTCGCACGATGAGTTTCAGTCTTCCTTTCTTCCTTTATTTCTGTCTGTCGTTCTTTCTTTCTTTCTTTAGTGCTTTCTCTCGTTATTTCGTTCTTTCTTTCGTTCGTTCATTCTTTCGTTATTTCTTTCTTTCGTTCTCTCGTTCTTTCTTTATTTCTTTCGTTCTTTCTTTCTTTTGTTATTTCTCTCTTTCGTTGTTTCTTTCTTGCTTTCTTGGTTTTCTGCTTTATTGCTTTCTTGCTTTCTTGCTTTCCTGCTTTCTTTCTTTCTTCCTTTCTCCTTAAAGAAAATCAACGTTTTCCGATGGTAATATCTGTAAAATCAAGGTTTCTTGTGGAAACATGGAGAAAATCAATTAGAGAAGATCAAGATTTTCCTATGTAAATGTATGGGAAATCAATGTTTTCCTATGGAAATGGGAGCACTGAGCTCCAAGTGACTCCAGAGAGAGGAGTCCCGACCTTTCCCCCTAGCCCCACAAATCCAAGATGCAAAAGGCCCTAAAGGAATCTGCAAAGCGTCTGTGACAAGACATGTATGTATGTATGTATGTATGTATGTATGCATGTCTGTCTGTATGTATGTATGTATGTATGTATGTATGTATGTATGTATGTATATATAATTATATATATATAATTAACTATATATATACACGTATATATACATATCTACATTTTTTTGTATGTATCTTTGTTCTTATCTTCGTGCAAAGGAGCGCCATGTGAAGATGGCATCCGCTGCCTCAGTTGAGGTCACTGGGTGCCAGGTTTGTCGCGGTTGTGCAGCGTTGCAGATGCTGCAGATGCAGTTTTCGGGCAGGAGTTGGAGAGGCAAATGAAAGAACCACTTCGACCAAGCCGAGAAAGGACGAATTGTCATTTTGTGCAAGCATGTGCAAGCGATAGCATGCCGGTCCATTAAAAGACTGGATTCGTAGTTGCTTTATCTCGTATCGCTTCCTAGAATCTTGTAGAAATGCGCAGGGAGCGCGTTGGAATCGCGCTTCGGGTGGCCGTGTTTTCTCGTTGAAGGGATTGTTGTCAACAGCGCCAAAAAGAAGATCAGCGTCCGAACGCCGGGCAGGGTGCATACGAAGGATTAGCACGTGTTGATGTATATTTTGAGCCGCTGACGTGCTATGCTCTCCAGAGGGGCATGATATTTATTCTAGCGGCTAGCGGACTGGTGTGAGCTGAGTCTGCTCGTGTGTGAGTTCATGCTTTCAGTGCTTCATCCAGCTCTGAGCTACGCGAAAGTTGGCTTCCACAGGAAATGTGTTAGTTCAGTGAGTTCATGCTCAGGATTCCCACCCCACATGTGAGCTCTGAGATGGTGGAGGACTGAAAGTTGCAAGGCCGACCGTAAAGGCACTGAGGCATTTGAGCACCATGGATGCCCGAAGAGAGCATTCCTGAGGTCTCAGCTACCCCCCCGCTACCCCTGTATTTCTCGCAGACATCGCCAGAGGAGGCGTTCATGAACTCTGGCAAGTCTGTGCGGATATTTCCGGCTGCTGAGATGCAGGCTCAGACTTTTGCCGTGGGTGCAGTGCAGCTTCGCTTGCCTTGTTCAGCTTGAATGCTGTATGTACCGGAGCCGCCGGCTTAGCGCAAGATGGAGCAGAAACTCAACTGGAGGCTGTTGCGGGGCAAAGCCGGTCAAGTCGAGAAAGCCAAGCAACCCTTTTTTCAATTAACGCCATGGCCAAGAGATGCCTTGCGAGCATTCCTCCAGGGCGCCACGCTGGCCGGCGGTTTCCGCACGTCGCCACACTGCAACCCTTACGCCTTGGGCAACGGTCTTCTTAGGTCTCGTTCCCATCTGCACGCCACTTCCATGAGCTTCCTCATCCCCACCCATCCCCCACTCCTCCACTCCCCCCACGATGCATTCTGGACACGTTGTATCTGTCTCCAAACTTGTCACATTGGTCAAATCGTCCCTTTGTTGTACACTCGAGTCCGAATGCGGGCAGAGCTCAACTGGGTCGATTCACTGCGATGGCCCTTGGACGTCCTGACGTTGTCTCACGTTAGCTCATGTTGTCTGACGTGCGGTTGGGGTACGGGTAGAGCCATGCTTGAAATCACTGGTCCCTCATCCTCAGACCGCTCCAGGAAGCAAAATCCGGGCAACCGGCATCAGCTTTGCAGATTTTCTCCCAACCTGTGGTTTGCAGCATGTCACTACGTTCACTGCCTGAACCTGCCCCGTTGGTCCACGCTGCACTCTCCACATATCCCACAGAATCCCACAGGCGAGCGCAACAGGGCTACAGGCGCAGACCCTGCCTTGAGTTCAGGAGTACAGTTTGAGATGCTTTTGAGATGCTGTGAGAGTGCCTCTAGTCTATGGCCTTGTGAATGCTATGTGCCTCATGTAGCGCCTCTCCTCGTTTCGAGAGAGTTGTTATGAGAGGCAAGTGTCCTCTCTTAACTGAATCGGCACCACATGAGAGCGCCAGGTTGGCAGCCGGCCTGTGCGTGAACGAATTGCGACGCCATTTACCTCGATCGCTTTGTCAGCCTCTTTCGAGGCTCTCCCCTAAAGTCCTAAGCATTGTACAAGCATCACTTTTTTGTCAGTCCTCTTATATGAAGGCTTTTCAGCATTGCTTCAGCCACTTTCGTTCGCAGGATCGTCGAGTACAGCTTGCTCCAGTTGCAGCGACGGTCGAGGAGCGGCCAGAGCACCGAGAGGCATACGGAGAGCCGCATAGAGAGACCGGCGCCCGCATGCATGCGCGACCCACACGTAGAACAGAGGCGATATTTTCGTGTATCTCGAAAATGTTTGTCCAGTTTCCGAATCCGCGCGTTTCCAGCTTCCGAACCGCTGCTGACCCTGATCACACTGCTCGTGCGGTCTCTGACCGGTGTGCCGCGCGCACACTCTGCATCCTACGCACTGGCCTGCATGCGCTGCGGTGTCGGCTCTGCCCGCCGATGGAACCGAAAAGCTGAAGCCATGCTCATACAGACCTGCATAAACGCTAACCCGGCTCCTTCTTCGCCGGTGTTCCCTAGCAATCCGGGCAGGACGTGCCTGCGCTAGTGCTGTGCTGCCCTTCGGGGTTCTAGCCTATTGTGTGGGAGTGGAACAAGTTTTTGTGGCATGGCGCTCCCAAAGTTGGCTTTCAAACTGCGCTGCAGCCAATCAGCTGATCAGCTGATCGGCTGATTGGCTGCCGCATGGTTGCGGTTTAGGGTGTTTAGGGTGTTCAGGGTGTTCAGGGTGTTTAGGGTGTTTAGGGTGTTTGGGTGTTTGGGAAGTTTACGGTGTTTAGGGTTTAGGAGGTTTGGCTGATTGGCTGCTCGATGCTGATTGGCTGATTGCCTGCCGCTTGGTTTGCTGCAAAAAGCCATGCACACTGCTTTTGGGTCCCGCAGGGGAGGTTTCGGAGTGTGTTAACGCCTCCCCGAGGTTTATGCGCTTTCCTGGCAGGAGTTCGAGGCAGCTTCCCAGGGCCAGCTCCGGCAAAGCCGTGACAGGACAACGCATACCAAGGGCTGCCACGGCATTGTGGTAGTGTTTTTTGCAATATTTTGCAGTATTGTGGACCCCACACACCAGCTTCCATCGTTCGCTGCGATGAGACTCAAGCAGGATTCCAACGCCCCATGTCAGCTCCGAGGTGATTGAGGACGTGTGAGAACAGCTTTCGGGCAATTCGGACTACATGTTACAGATTGTCACTGTGCCAGCAAGGAGACCTTTGCAAACTTTGCGAAAACCGTTCGGGTGTTTCCGGCTGCTGATATTGAGGCCACGCAACTGCCGCATACCTGAGCTATTGGCCATTACTGCGAACTGGACGCGCCTTCCAGGCGATACGTGTTGCTGGACCAAGACGGCCTGTTCGAGAACGGCAGGCCACTCCCTTTTTCAAGGAGGCCGGTACTCAGTTCGATTTGGCCTCGTTGCCGGTCGTGTAGATCTTGTTATTGATATCTGCCTGGCCAAAGTCGCTCAAGTTCAGAGCACGTTCACACTTGAATCGCTTCTTTCTGATTTTGAGTGTCCAAACATAAGCATCGCACCTAAAGACATCTGCCCAAATCAGGTACATGATGCCAGTGTGGTCGATGCAGACGTACAAGTAGATTCGAGAGACGCTGGACATGCCTCCTGCTTGTTCAGTCTTGTGCTGTAGGAGGAAGATGTCCTGCAAGACGCGAGAATGGTCCAATTCAATGACGCAGTCATCCAGGTGCCAAGCAAGGCGAGCACCAAGAGAAGAGCAGCGGAGAGCCCTTTGTGTCTCCTGGACTCCTGTCGCTCAACTCTCCTTGAAGTATTGGTGTGTGCGACATGCCCTCTGCAGACTCCGCAGGTGCTGGCAAGTGCAGAGTCCATGGCCTTGCTGGCTCGTTCCTCGTTCTTCCATCCTGTTGGCCCGTGTTGGCCGCTCGAGTTTCTGGCGATTAAAGCCATGAAGCAGTAGGAATCACGAGAGGAGCGGAAGAGAGTAAGCACCGAGTCGACACCGCTCGATCGTTTTCCATGGCCAGCCCTGACTTCACTCTCATTCAATCTCATTCAGAATGAATCAGAATGACATGAATTTGCCCTCAGACCTTTCTGTCGCCAGGTCGGTACCAGATCTGCGCGTGATCGGATTGCGACACCTTTTGCAGCGGATCTTGAGGAAGCCCTTGCCACTGCCTTGCCACGAGCCTGTCTTGTTCACAGTCCTTCTCTGTTCTTGCAGTTTCTTTCATCTCTCCGCATCTTTGTTGCGCTCAGATGACTCAGCTGGTCCTAGATGATGACAGGATCGTCGAGTTCTGCTCGCACCGGTCGTGTCCACCGTGGAGGACGTGCGAAAACGGGTGCAAGCTGCAAGCTATTGGCATTCCGCGCAGGCGTGCGAGTGAGTTAGACTGAGTTAGGAGTTTGAGCCGGAAAACTCTGGAGCCCTCCGTCCAAGCCGTGACAGGACACGGCCGATACGGGAGCAGAAACATGTGGATTAACGCATGCTGCACGCTTTAGGGTGGAACCCACCCTTTGCCGCCTCTGAAGTGTTGAGCCCAGGATGCCGACGCCTTACATGAACTCCGAGATGATTGAGGCCACGCAGAGTCATGCAGCCATGTACGTGACTCTACGGCTGCAGCCACATTTAGATATCTGCAAGTTGGAAGGATGCACTTGTGAATCCCGGCAAGACGGTTCGACTCTTTCCTGCCGCCGAGGTCGAGGCGTGTGAAGCTCTTGCCCCTGCACTCGAGAAGATACACCCTACTAGCCCCTACTCGTAGCATCTCGTAGCAAAATCTGCCGCAAGCAACCCGGCTTTGCATGACGCAAGGGCTCCACAGCGCCAGGCCATTCCTGCGTCAGGGGAGAGACGCCCAAGCCGAGACCGACAGGCAACCCCCTTCTTCAAGGAGAGTCTGAGGGCCAGCCCAGGGCAGAATGTGACCTTACAGCACCTAAGGTTCTTGAAATGCCGAGTGGTTACATATGCGGAAGTAGTTGGGGGAGGGATCTGCATTTCGGCCCTGTCAGCTTTTTCGAGCTTGAGACTCGAGACCAATCTTGAAGACCACTGCATCGCAAGAGCAGGACATGGCTGCTGATGCCCTGCTGAACGACAAGTTCGGACAGGAGGCCTACCATGGCCAAGTGGCCAAGCACCTTGTAGCCTGCATCATGCCTGCACGTTTAAGTTCCAGCCCAACGCTCCAGTGTTTTCCGACCTGTGCAGGAGGGAGGGAGAGCGGGAGAGAGCGAGAGGGGCCGCCCGCTTTCAGACCCGCCAGTCTCCACCGGACACGGGCGGGCGCGAACTGCGCGGGGGTTCTCCCCCGAGGCCCCATGAGGTAAAAGCGCCGAGAGCGACAGAGAGGGAGGACCGTCTCCGCTGTGGAGAAACAGAAGAAGGCTGCTCCTCTGACAACCTCACACAGTCTCACGCTGTCCACTCGCAAGCTGAGGTGCGCCCAGTGCGCCCGGGGCAGGGGCGACCTTCACCTGAAGCCTCCCGAAGAAAGAATGGAAAGTTTGGGGGTATTCTCCACTGTGGAGATGGAGAAGAAGGAGAAGAAGAAGCAAAAGTGGAGAGAAAACCATACCTGTCTCACCGAACAACCCATACCGAGCATGCTCCGGGCAGTGCAGGCGTGCTACGGTCGACTGATCCTCGTGGGGTATACGGGAGTTGTGTGTTCAGCTATGTTCAGGAAAGGAATGGGGAGGACGCATGCTGCATGCATCACTGCTCATGGCATCTAGCTTTAAGTCATGACCTGCCGAAGTCGAATTCCCTCGCCCTCACTCCTTTCTGCCAGGCCACCATGGAAGCTGGGATTGAGCGCGAGATTTCCGAGCGAGTGAAGCTGAATGCCCGTTGCTGAGTATTATCAGCAGTGCCAGCAGTGCACCCCAATGGAGTATGGCGTGACTCGTGCGCAACGGAGGCTCAGCGACAAGCCAGAGAGGAACGCCTGGTGCAAGTAGGCAGTGCAGATGCCAACGCTCGATCCTCTTGTGACTCTTGTGTAAATCTCTGTCGATCTGCGCTCACAGTTGCTCACAGTTTCTCATCCTTGAGGTCCCCTTGGCTCTAGAAATGTGTTCTTCAGCCGACAATGGCAATCCGGAAGCAGACCTGGCCAGCCACATTGAGCCTCGGATTGTCTGGAGTTTGCGGGCATTCTGCATCATCGGGAAATCCCACCACCGCATGACACCCCGTGACACCCCTAGGTTGCAGGTGCGGTCAAAGACACAGAGCTGCTTCGTCGTACCTTGCGTTCGGCCCTCGGGGCTCGTATCTGTGAGTCTCTGACACTTCGTGTGACACTCCCTGTGAAATTTGGTGACAGTCTTCACGTGCGCAGCCTGCTCGAGTCTTGTGAAAGGCAACCTCGCCTTCTTTGAGACCTTCGATGACGATGCACTGCGTTGCCTCATCGAGGCTGGAATGGGTGGCATGAGGGCATGAGTGTTATTGATTTAGCTGACTGGCTTGCACAAGCTTCTTCATGCATGTTCAGAGCCTCCCAGCTCGTGGCGTGTGCCCTTCGGCATAGGAAATGGAAGTGTACGAGTTCCAGCCGGGTGAGAAGGTTGTGCGTCAGGGAGACACCGACGGTGCGCCAAAGCCCTGCTGAGATGAGCTCGAGTTTGAGTTTGGCCGAAGTCTGAACGCTCAACGCGCTGGAAGCGCTGGACGCTAGGTACACACTTCTACGTGGTTGCGCAGGGGGACTTCTATGTCATCAAGGACGACAGTCCCAGCCGCTACATCGGGCCAGAGACTCGCTGGGTTTCACAGCGACTCTGCGAGTTGTCTATGATGAGACATTGATGAGATGAGAGCTGATCCGAGAGTGACAAATTGTGACATTTGGCATACATTTGGCTAATCGTGGCAGCGAGAACTGGCAGATAGATACTTGGCGTCAGGCCTGGCTCTTCATTCGGTGAAAGTGTGCTCCTGCTCCATGGAGAGCGGAGTGCCACAGCCTGGAGCCCCGGACGAGTCCTAAACGAGTCCAGCATGAGCCCCCTTTGCTGCCCGATTGATTTTACCTGGTTTGGGCCAGGTCTGCGCCCACGGATGTGCGGAACTCAGGGTGGGTAAAGCACAGACAGTAAGCCAGTCTGAGACTCATATTGTGCAGGCGCTTTAAGGATGGGAGTGGGCATGGCTAGACAGCTAGACCTGTTGATGGTTGCGTTACTTGAGGCTGGCTGTTCTGTTTCGGTCTGGCTTGCGTGACTTGCCAAATCTTCAGTCAAGTCTTGGTGAACCTACCATGTTCCATGCTCTCAAGTGCTCCCAAAAGAAACCATACAGTAATGTGTAGATTCTCTACCGGTCGACGCACATCCACTGAGTCTTCCAGCTGTCAGCTGTGGAGAGAGGCCCGTGATTACTCGAGGTTCACGCGCCTACGGCATGGCAGGCATGCAAGACACGAGCTGAGAGTCGCCTTTCCTTGTTTGTAGCACGATGTGCAGGCTTGCTGCATTCGGAAGAATTTCTCCATAGAGTTGGTCAATCAGGTCCGGGAGCTACTTCGACAGCAGTACGAACAGATGAGACGTGCGGTCGTCGAAGCTATGGATGAGGTGGGACACAGTGCGGCCTAATATTTACTGTAGTATGCATTGCTTCGTTTTGGCTGCACACTTCAGGCATGTCTGCATGTGCCACAGGTGCTCAACTCGAATCAGTGCGAGATCCTGCGCGGGCACCTGCTCTTCGTTCGTGCTGCGCATGTTGATTCATTGCACATGCTGAGGTCTGGCCTCAATGGATTTCAGCTTCAAAGCCTCTATGACCAGGCGGGCACAGATCTGGTAATGTAATCACGTGATTGTTTACGCAGACTTGAAGGTTCCTTGTTTCATCTCGCTTGTCTAGTAGATGCTGCGCACTCTGTGCTGTGTTCGCAGAGGGACAGTGCAGCGCAAAGCTCAGATCCGCAGACCGGTGGAAGTGCCCACAGCACCCAGCTCAAAAAGACGAAGCATGTCAACTTCAGCAAGATCCCCTGCAAGTCACAGCTGTGCGCTGGGAGCTCTCGACCTGCGACCATGACGAGGAACTCCAATGAACTTCTCATCAATTGAGACGTTGGCCTTTCAAAGCTTTCCCAACCCCAAGTCCCGCCCATCTGCTACATCTACTGCTCCTAAGTCGCGTTGCGACGTAACGGCCTGCTGAAAGCGTGAACCGATGAGGGACTTGACATTGTGAGGCCACATCGTCCGTACACGTACGTACCGTCCGCGCAGAAGAACCGTTGTAAAGGAATCAAGTCGTGACTAGGGAAAGATGTCAGAGGGTGTACTTTGGGCCCCAGGTGCGTACTGACAATCACATTCCATGTATGAATGTATTGGGTGATTCAGAACGCAAATTTGCACGGAAGACCTTGAGGGCATCCCCAGACTTCTGTGATCGTTTTGTGCCATGCTGTCCTGTAGGTCGAGATGAAAGCCTTCAAGCCAGGCCGACCCGATACTGAAATGCCATGTCCACGAGTTGTGCCGTGCGTACTTGTGCAGTCTGCTGGTCTGTACTTGCAAGCCAGGGGACCTAATCCTCCAGGAAGGGGACTTGCCAGATGAGGTGACTCGTACTGTTCAAATTGATGTGGCCATCGGAGCGCACGACGCAACACTTTACCCGACCCGTGCCAGGTTCAAATCCTATACAGTGGTGAAGTAGAATCAACGTGGGGCCCTCAGCAGAAAGCGCATGCAAACAGCGATTCATGTCCTGCAAGTTTGGCACGTAAAGCGTCCCAAACAATCCTCTTGCCAACAATGCCTCGCCAAAGTTTGAGCCAGCCCTTGGATATCGAAATGAGTCGAGGTCAGGAGGACTGAAGATTGGCAAAGTTCCCAGGCCTGGTGACTATAGGTGTCTCTGACCCTATGTATCGCACGCCTGATCCAGGTTCTACTTGATGGGCGCCCGCGCACTCTTGTTCCAGGACTTGATATCCAGCTTCATGTTGAAGACTCAGTCTCCAAGCGATACGCCCAAACTGCATGATGGCGGACAAGGTTTTGAAAGCTCTGGATCCTTGATCATATGGGGTTTTTGAGTTCTACAGTTTTAATCCTCAAAGGGAGACCACTTCACCATGCCCTGATTTCACAAATCTAACAGGCCTGTTGCCCACAGCTTACTACGCCCCGAGGCGACAAGAACCTAAGTATGGACGATCTCAGTTGCCTTATGGTTTCTTGGCCTCTGGTTCAACGCACCCTTGCGAAATTCCGCTTCGCAATTTGGCTGGCTGTAAATTTTTGTTAGGGATGGGAACATCGCATGCAGGACGAGCTTGCCTTTGAGCAGCCAACTAGCTTGACTGCGGCCACAGCGGTTGAGCCCATAGCTCAGCTGGCATACGGTAGGATCAGGGTAGGATGTTAAGCCCTCACGTGCATCATGTGCTGTTTATTCGGGTTCCAGTTTCCAAACCTGTTCCGGTTTGATATCGTTTGATCCTACTTGGCTTGACGCTTGACAGTGCTCACATTGGCTTGCACGGCCAGACCCATTGCGATTTTTTCATTTTGCCGATCTTGGCGGCTTCTTCAGCACCTCTTGCAGCTAACCTTGTAGCGTTGTAGCGTCGTAGCATTGTAGCCGATTGCAGCCGGAATTCGCCAAGGACACTCGTTCTGAAACGCATCCTGTTGGACACACTGTTTGGCAGCAGGTTGCAGCAGGCAGGTAGTTGACAACTGTTTGTGTCGAGTTGCAAGTCAGCGCGAGTGCCTTGCGCATTTCTTGGGGCAGTCCATTCATTCAGCGCAATGCATACTTGGGTAAATACTGCTGAGTGCCGACCAGCGCGCGTTTGATTCTGAAGGTTCTGGTGAGGAACGGGGTCCTCTACGTGCTGGCACAGCATGAGGCCGCGGAAGCTCCACCGCGCACTTCTTAGGCCTGCCCTTGGTAGGTAAAGCAAAAGCAACATGGAGGACTTCTCTCGGCTCCACCAAGAGCACCGGGAAGCCATTGCCAGCGCATGCCAGATCCGATGTCTGCCCAAAGGCCGCTCAGCTCTCTATAGACGCATTTGAGAGTTTGCACGCTGAGTGTTGCTTTGAGTGCAGGTTCCGAAGCCAGCTGGGAGGTCAGCTGCGAGTGTGTTTGAGTTTCTGCATCAGCTAGAGCGGCACTCTGTCCGGCTAGTGGCAGAAGCCTGTTTGCTTGTGCCATCTTGTGCCGAACTGAGCTTGAAATGCAGGATGTTCGTGTCATTGTGGCGGTGAATGGAGAGATTCAACTGCCGCATGCACAGCACTTGCACTGCGTACTGCTGCAAGTGTCATGCCATAACTTGACACTCCAGGAATCTAGAGACTGGCCCTCGGCAATTGTTGGGCGCTTCGCGCTGGGCTTGGATGGGTTGCTGCCACAAGTGCCGGCTCTGTTATTTGGCTTGCGTTCGTCCAAGAAACCTTCGTTGTTGAAAAGGTAGGACTGCGACAGTTCACTCAGCAAAGGTCTGATCTGTGTATGCTGAGCATGCCGAATGAGCAGCTGCCTGAATCTTGGTAAATGCTTTCAAGCAGACAAGAGTCCTTGACGCACGAGAGACCTACGTATCCAAGGCAAGCGCCACTGAAGCTCCAAGCGCTCGCAGATTCCAAGCTGGCAGTTTGGCGAGGGGAGGACGGACTTGTGCAACAGATACCATTTCACCTTCTCCATAATTATCTTATACTTGGGAGGATTTGGATAGCATCCTGGCGTTTAACGACTTTGACGGAGCCTTGGAGCAGGACAGCAAGGCAAGGCTGGATCACTCTTCTTTCTCGCAACAGGTTACGACAGTTACGGGATGTTGGCACAAGTTTGCCAATGTGGAAGGTCCGCAGTCTTCGCTCTGTTTTCGTTTTCGCTACGCTGTCCAAGCAGCAACTTCAGCGCCAGGGCCTTATGAATCTGCAGTCTTGACGCATCCTTTTGGCGCGGTTTCTTTTCAAAGAACTATCGTTAAGCTGCAAGCACGCGAAGCAAACCTGATGCCAAGTTTCTTCGGTTCAGTTGGTCACCTCTGCTTTCGAGGTTTGGCACGCGCGTTGGAGATTCAAACCGTCAAGAGTGGCGATCGCGCCTGCAGCCCATTGCAGCCCGCTGTCGTGCAGAGCCTTGTGGATGGCTCCACCTTTAGCAAAGGTGTTTTCGCAAGGTGACCAAGGAACGTCAGAGCCTTCTGCTGCTCTACCTCACTACCTGACTCTCTGTGCGCTGCGCCTTGCCAAGGCACTTCTACATCATCCGAAAGGGCGCTGTTAGCGTGGAGATCGATGGCCGTCGCAAGCGCAGGCCTCTTCCCTGGCACGCCACTATGGGGCCGGAGGAAGCTTGTTTCCATCGTGTGTTTTATGAGTCGCTTTCAAGGTTGGGCCATCCGGACTATTTCGGAGAACGCGCCTTGCTGGGAAGCGAAGTTCGCAGTGCCAGCATCACCGCTCTGGAGGAACGGTAGCAGACATGTGGAGGCCATTTTCAGTTTGACCGTGCTATGCCGTCGTATCAGGACACCGAGCTGTGGAAAATGGGCGAGGGGACCTTCCAGGAGATTATGCCGGGCACTTCTCAAAGTAACGCATTAAGTAGCTGAAGTGCCAGTCCACGTCTTGGAAACTGCAGGCAAGGGCCGTGCCTGGACTACCTCAAAGACAGGATCTCTCTCCAGGACATTGTGGTCCCTTCCTGCATTGGTGTTTTCTCAAGGTTTGTGCAGGGACTGTTACTTGCTGCAAAGCACTGGAGGACACAGCTTTGACTTTCAAAGACCTCGAGCCTTTGCCTTGCTTTCGCTGCGGACGATGCCAATACCTGTCACTAACTTGCCAACAATCAGCAACGGTCAGAGCCGTCCAGCACCTTGAGCTCGTAAGGTTTGTGCGGGTCATCGGTCGAGGCGGCTTTGGAATTGTGAAGATGGTCCGAGCCAAGAGGACGGAAGTCAGGATCGCCCGCTTCACTTCTTCACTTCGGTGTCTGCCGTTGCCTGTCAAATCGGTGTCGTTTCGGGCCAGGTATGCCTTGAAATGCGTCCGGAAGCGTGATGTGGTAGAAAAGAACATGCAAGATGCTTTGCTGTCTGAGCTTGGCATTCTGAAAGAGGCCGTGACCCTGGCGGCTTTATTGTTCATTGCTGGGTACGGATTGATCCGACGACCGAGCGAGGTTGACCACCCATTCATCGTCAAGTTCGTTCGGTCATTCCGCAACGAGCTGCTTGGCTTTCGTGATCCAGTCGCATGACTCGGCGCGACTTCATGGTGTGAGTGCCTGCGCAGCGCTGGAGGAGATCCGTTTACTTTCTCACCGAGTTGGTGACCGGCGGCGCAAATCTTAGTTTTGAACCTGTCGGCTGTCGGCATGGAAGACACGCATGTTGTCTATTTTGACCATCGCAACATCCTACGCCCCTCTACAATATCATGCATGTTCTGACACCATGGACGAGTTCTTCCATGTGACGCTCTACTTGCGAAGCCCTCCGTGTGCTGAGTCCGCTACGTCCGCTAAGTCGGCACCAAGGTGAGCTGCTGGATGCACTGGATGCACTGGGGTTGCTGAACCACTGGCAGGCACAAGTCTCAGTAATCGTGTATTGTTGCCTCAGGCCGATCCTCAGACATCCCTTGCAGCAGATGAGTCTTCGCTGTGCACCGCGCAGGCGTTGTTCTACACCGGATGCATGGTTCTTGCACTGGAGTTTCTGCATTCTCGGCGTGTGCTTCTCAGCTGTAGGCTGTAGGCCTGACATTGTGTGAGTCTGCTCTTGCACAGTGGGCAGGCATTGCTTACCTTGATCTCAAGAGTGAGAACTGCTTGATTGACCAGCAGGCGCTCTCCTCACTACCTTGAGGGTTGCACACTGTTGCAGACTGTTGTGCGCCTTTCCACATGTCTTTTTTCCATGTCTTGTCGCAGCCGCAGGGATACCTCAAGCTGATCGATTTCGGCATCGCACAGCGCATCACGAACACCAGATTCGGGCCTCTGAAGGCCTTGCGATGCCTTTCGTCTCTAAATGTCTCTAACCTTCGAACCCCAGGACAACTTTAAAGAAGCAGAGGAAGATTGGCCGAAAACGTTGCCCATGCAGTTCGGCTCACACAACGCACAACACAGAGGTGAGGTGTTGCATGCCGCGGTCAAGAACGGCTGAAACGAATCACCTGTCAACTTTGGTGGGGCCAGGGCACCCCAGTTTTCATGGCGCCCGAGATGGTGCTGGGCAAGGCATGTTCTCCGAACTGGACATCGGATTGTCCACACCTGCATCACTCTGCAGCGCAGGGGAATAGCACCGTGGCAGATTTATGGAGCCTGGGCATCTGCCTTTACGAGTTTGCGGAAGGCTCAGTCATGCCCAGCCTGAAAGGTATTGTATGTTGTACATTTTTCATCGTTCTTCGATTTGCACAGAGGTCATTGGTCAGTTCCCGTTTGCCAGCAACTGCAACAACCGTGGCCAGCCATTCCCTCAGCTTCCAGTTGGAAGGGTTCGAGGCGTGCAGGCGCAAGGCACAGTCTGCATGTGTCTGCATACATGATATGGCAGTGCCTTTGGTTGCACATGGTTTCCCTGTAACTGCATGCAAGGATTTTTCACCAAATATTGCGGGCACCATTGCGATTTCCAGAATGGTGGTCGTCTTACTTGAACTGGCGGCTTGCAGCTCAAACTTTGTGTGGCATCTTTAATTTAACCATGGCTGAGGTTCTACAAGCAACCGATGGCAGAGGAGACCATGGGCTGCTGCCCCAAGTGAACCAGTCTTCGTTGGATGTGGTGTTAAACTGTTAGCGCTCGCAAGGCTTCGCCGAGTGGAGTTGGCATGGTATAGCATGCACTTTCATGTCTATTCTGTGCGTGCTGTGCTCGTTTTGGAATTCCATAGCGGTCACATTGCACATGGACATGTCTTATTGACATGTCTTCTGAAATCAATGTGCAGCCTGAGCAGAGGGAGCCACCTAATGGACTTCAGTTGTGGCATTATCTCTAAGACAGCCCGCTTGGCGGGCGTCTCGACAACAGAACCCATGTAGAAGCGATTAAAGAGCATAGCGCACAGCAAGTTGAAACGATCCTTTGCACCTTGACTTTGAGAGCAAGTTCTTGAGCTAAAGGAGGCCAATACAGTTGAAGTTCAAAAAAGGAAGGCATAGGAGGAAGGTGCCAGGATCAGGGCTTCAAAAGTCGGAAGTAGTCGCATGATTCCGCATGATGCAAGGCCTGCTTCGCGGCCTCTTGTCCCGAGACCCGAAAAGACGTCCGGGTGCAGGACACGAAGGCACGAAGGTGTCTCAGAGACTTTTTTCCAGTGAGCATGAACTAGCGACCATCAACGACCAGCTGAGCTCCAAGCCATGGAAGGCTACGCGAAGATGAAGGCGCATCCTTTCTTCAAAGCCCTGTGCGTGCTCCTGAGTGCATCTATGTGCATCTGCATACCACTGAGGGAGTTCGCGGTTAGCCGTTTTGAAGTTTCTTGAAAACAAAGGCTGGGAAAAGCTCCTGTGTCGTGAGTACGAGCCCCCTTATGTCCCGACAATGGAGATTTATGCCGAGGACTGTCGCATGCCTGCAGATCCTCGGTCTTTCTAGATCAGGGTCGTCACCTTTCCACTCTTTTTCCGACAGCAGCTCGCAAAGAACAATTCAGCCAGGACAAACACCAGCCTGTCTCACAGTCGGTCGGGGAGAGCCTGCCCACAATGGAAGAAGAGGAGGCGCATACTTTTCTTGTGCAGTGCGTTGATGACAACTTTCTTGCCAATAGTTCCTGTGACTTACAAGGGCGAAGACTGACAAAGGCATGGTAGCACTCACCTGCGATCTGCGATGTGAAGGGTCAACCTCAACAACCGGTGTACATCTGTCACACCGGATGCAGAGTGAATTCGTCCACCCTGTTGGTCGCACAGTTTTTTCGGTTCTTATCTTATGGTGTGTCCAATTTTCATTAACAGCAACATCACTGTCTTCGGGTACCGGATCCAACATGCAAGCCTTGTCCCAACCTAGCACTTTCCGGGGTCTTGAATCTTTCCCTCTCCAACGCCCTAAAGCCTTCCGGCTTTAGGAGCATGGGACTGTTGTGACGTCATCCTCTTGACTGACAATTTCAGAACGTGCTAGTGGCGTTCAAGAAGCTCTCCGCCCTAAAGTTGCGCTGTCCTGCGATTGCTAGTTTGCAGATCTCTTCCCTTCTCTCTCGCTCTTGCTTGTGTAAACAATGAAAAGCTCGTCAGGGCCGACTTTGGGCTTAGGACATTGTAACTTTGAAACATGCATACGCTTGCACGCACCGCCTCGGCAACCGGGCCCGGTCCAGGAGGTTCAGGGTGTTTCCAAGAGGCTTCCGGGTAAGTTGCAAGGGGATGGGGGTCCCCCAGGCCCCCAGAAGGAGTCCCCGAATTGGGGTCCTTGTCAGCCGTTGTGGTGTTGCATGGTTGTGGACGCAAAGTCGGGAAGGTGGAAGGAGACGAAAAATTTTTGTCCATCCGTCCACCGATCCTTCTTTCTTCCGTTCTTGCTGCTTGCTCCTCTTTTACAATATTCTGCCTTCAAAACATGTCTTCTCTGTGCATTTCTTGATGCCACTGTGGCCTCTTAAATTGACTGGGGGACGCGGGCGGCCTTTTGCAACGGCGGGTGCCGCCGTATTTCTGCTACGGTCGAGCAAAGCATGGTGATGGGTGTTTTCTCTCTCGAAGTTGCAGTTGCAGCTGGTACGAGATCTGCCTTGGGCGCTTACTCAACCTTGCCGATTGTTGAGGCGCGTTGCGCTGCATCAGAGATGCCCTGGCAGGCCATACTCTTGTCAGTGGAAAAGGGTACTTGCACTGTAGGAGGCGACGCTTTCTCAGGGCCATCATTGCCTGACATATATCCAGTTGAGATCCACCGGGCATAGCATCTCCTGCACAAGAGAAAGCGTAACTCTACTACATTCTGCTACTTTACCTACATTCCTCTACTGGCAATACTGGCAGCAGCTCCACAGCTTCGCCCCCAGGATCCGTCTCCGGGCTGGGATGCGGAGTTCTGATTGATGCTGGACATTTGCTGTTAATGACCTTTTTAATTCTGCCACCTGCGCAGCCGCATCCGCAACAGCAAGATTGCGGATGCACTCGAGTTTCGAGGCCAGTAGACTCCTGTGACCACAGCATGACTTTGATAGCATGAAGCAGCGCCGGTTTTTTGCGTTGTCATGAGGATTTGGGCATTTGAACGCCAAACTCTCTTTCACCTTCAGCTGCGCGATGCAGCGATTGCAGCGCGAAGGCTTGAATAAACATCTAGCCGACGAGCCACTTCTCGCGTCGAAGTATTCGTGCGCCCACTGCTTTGGAAGACAAACGCTTGCCACTGTCTGCTGCAAGTTGCTTCAAGAGTCAAGACGCTCCTCATTTTGGCGTGCTAGCAACGCCACTCAGGGAGCCCTACTTACACCTTCATCTCTGGAGCTTTGAGCTCGATGTTAGGAGTCGAGACATGTTGAACTACGCACGTGGCTTCAAAATGCTTCACAGCAGCACTTCCGGAAGGAAGACTAGGAACAAGCCGTGAGGTATCCTGAAAAGATTGAGTTGCGAGATTTGCGGTTCTTGCCTAGTCCCAGGTTGCAGCCTTCCAACGGTTTATACAGCTCCACGGCATTTCATGCTAAAATGCATCGCTGGAGCAAAGGCAAACCCACTTGACAAGTAAGCAAGGATCCAGTCTCAATGTGCCAATGCACATAGCTCGCCTGGCATGCCAGCTTGCAGCGAAGGCAAGGTCATGAAGGGTTGCTATTGGTTGCTGAGTGAAAAGAGGCTCTGAGAATCTCTGAGAATCTCTGAGACCAGGACATGCAGCGAGGTCGTCTTTGAAGATAGTGGGCCGATTTTGTTTTGGGGAGTACTCCTGGTTCCTTTCAGAATTCGGTCGGGAGGAGGGGACACATCAAAGAGGATCCTCACAGGTGCGCAACTGTTTGGGGGAAGAGATACATGATGTGGATGTGAAAAGACGAAGCTGGAGGCTGTGCGATGGGATTGCGGGCGTTTCTGCAGCCAAGATCAAGGCAAGTCTCGTTACACGGAGCAGTCTAGCCTGTCAGAGTTCGACCCCATCTGCGACGCAGGCGAAAAGAGCATCCGAATGACAAAGAGCCTGAAGAGACACCAGCTCCTGGGCATGAGAGTGTGCCAGCAGGCAGCCCATGCAATCCAGATTACCGAATGATGGACATTTTACATGATCTTGCTTGGAAAGTACTAGGACTGCTTATTTTGGACTCCTTCTTTGCGCACATCGCACCTGGGTATGTCAGACTCAGGCCACGTGCTGCACGCATGATGGAGGTGGGCAACCGGTGCCTACTAGTCGAGGGACACGAGATGACACAAGTGAGGGCCGAGTTTTGCAGGTGGCGCGGAGGGTGACATGCCCCAAATGGAAAGCAAAGTCGCCTTTCTGCAAAATGACACAGTGAAACAGTGAAGATGCATGTTGCGCCTTGTGCAACGACAGTCCGACAGTGTCATGTCGACAGTAAGGTTCGAGGTGCTTTGAGGCCACATCTGGCAACGCTGCAGGCGTTGCCAGACACGTGCTCAGACACTGGATGTAGGTGGCAGCCTGCGCATGCTCACCAAGGAAGAGGTTCTGCACGAGCTGGAGGGTGCTGTGAAGCGCCTGGCAAAGGCAGAATCGCTCTGCAGCGGCACTGAAGCATATTCAAGCCCTGAAGATCGACATGGAAGCAACTCGAACTTTGGGAATTCAGCGGGAAGGACCAGTCTTGAAAGCCTTGGCAGCATGCACCCCTTTAAGAGTAGTGTGCAGGCATGCGGGGTAGAGAGATAGCTGCGATCTGCGCGAGAGCTCGCAAAGCGTTCTTAAAGTGCACGCGTGCGTTCTTGCTTTGAGCATGTCTTGAAGGTTTTTAGAAGCGGTTTTGGAGCCTCGAACAAAGTGCCGACGGTCACGAGCATCGTGTGAGGGTCATGCCATGTCAGAAGGGACAGGAGGGAACATGTCTGCTACCCACAAAACTAGACAAGACCACTTGATGCAAAAACTCTGGCAGAAACACAGTCAAGATACGGTCTCACAAACGCGACTGCAAACAGTTAACTTCTTCAGAAAGTATATTTTGCCCAACTTACCGATACATACGTGCGCAAAACACCGAACAAAAATCCCCAAAACGACGTACATGCAATGCTCCTGAGACGTGACGTGCTATTTGTCCAGCGCAGGCCGCACCAAAAGTATGCCCGACACGCAGTGCTCCGCGTGCGTTTGCGCAATGCTCGTCTGTTACTGGTTTGTTGGTTGATTTTTTGCTACTTGCGCAGCATCAATCTCCAGTATCTGCAAGGCTGCCGGAGAGTTGCGAGCCAGTTACAGTTCGCGCTCATCCTTTGTGATGAAAGCCTTGCGAAACTAGTTGCAAGCCTTGTGAGCCGAGAGCGCTTTGCGTTGTAGCCTCTTTCGTCTTGGCCTTCCGATCGGCTGACCAGTTCGGAGGTCACAGGGCTTGGGTCACTTTGTCATGTGTCCCTGTACGCCAGGTTCAGGTAGCCACTTCGGATCTGACATCAGCTACGGTAGATTTCAAGCGTGCGGTGTCTGCCTGGATCTTAGTTGGCTTCATGTCGGTATGGCAGGATGCCGTGCTTTTGATAAGGAAGAAGGCTGCCCAGACAAAGATACCAACGGAAAGCCGGGCAGTCGGACTTTGTCCTGCGGAGCGAGAGTGGCCGAGACATGTGCTTGAAGCTGCTCAGGGTGGTCGAAGCGCAGTGGCGGATAAGACGATCCGACAAAAGGCCAGATGCTCAGACATGCTGAGACGGATCTTCGCACGAATAATTGCACTTGGCAGGCGGTGGACCACATCCATGTCTGCGCCTTGAGTTTGACGAGTTGCGTGTCCTTCGCGGCTGAACACTCCCGGGCCCTGGCAACAAGCCTGACCGTCACAACACACACACACACACCTTGCAACTACTGCGTTGCTGTGCTGATCATGTTTCTCTGACTTGCAGGGGTGGTATCGGAGGAGCGCTGACACCAGCATGCCTCGCAACCCATTTGGAGGAACTCCGCTTGGAGTGCAGTTCGGCCTGTACGGTAGGTGGCAGAATTTGCGAGTGGCCATGGTCGGCCTGCTCGGGTGTTGATCTGCGTCTGGCCTGCAGTCCAGGACATCGACACACCAGCAACCTCCACTGTGGTCAGCGCGGCGGCAAGTGCGAAGCCGCCATGGATTCAATCATGTGTACGATGAAGACACGACATGCGTGGTGTCAGGAGGTGGCGAGCGACAACTCCGATGCATCTGTCTCGCGGCGACCTTCCCTAAGGGACCGCTGAAGCATGTGCGCGTTCGACCACGTTGCGGCCCAAGCACTCAAAGTTTGCCCCCTGGCAGGATGGCAAGGAGATTTCCAAGCATCGCAAAGCGACACGTATCACGTTTGAAGGGCCAGACCCTTGGAAGTTGTTAGAGTCAGACATTCCGTTCTTCCTGTGCAGGCAAACATGTCCCCTGCCCCTTGGCCCAGGCTTGAACAGCTCAAGGCTTTGGACAGCCCCGTCGAGAGCGATGACGAGGATGAGGAGCCTCCTGCAGCTGTGCGCTGTGCCTCTGCCTCTCGGCTCTGCTGGCTTCGGTGCACTGTGTCCGCAGATGTCCGCAGATGTCCGCAGAGTCTTCTTTGCCTAATCTTAGTGTACTTGTGAAGACTATGGACTTGTTGACACGCTGACATGGTGCCGAAGGACGTGCGGAAGAGAGCCGGTGGCGAGCTCAGATGAGCTC